GGTAAGCATATGCGGCTTATGTGCAGCCTCGTCAGAGCCGTTTCCCCTGTCTATTGCAGTGGGAAGACCATGGGGATAGGCTACCTCTAAGACGACACACTTTGCTACCCATAGTACCAGACCATCGATCTTGGCAATGATTGTGGAATGAATGAATGGATAGAAATCTGAATAAGAAATCCCTTTTAGGGTAACGGAACAGATAGGACGGCCCTTCTTAGCAGCGATGTCCACTGTTCTAGATTTTCTCATCACACGCTGAAAATTGTTGTCCCTCTTCCAGATTATGATACATTACTGTAAATGTTCAGATAGCGAAACCGTATTTTTACGGTTTCTATTTTGAGTAACATGTTAGATTATTTTGATCCATTGTACCTCGTTAAATTGGTCATCAGCTTAAGTGGGCGTAGCTAATAAGCCTCTCCCTCTTTATTAATTATCTGCATTGTTGTACCAACAGGCGTTTCTAAACTAGGAAGAATTCCTGTACTTCATAATGTAACTATATAATTTGCAGACTTTTTTGCTGACATTTATTTCTTATTTTCAGATTAGTGAATGGTGTCTTACAAGAGGAACTGAAAACAATTCATGCATTTTCAATGAAGACACTAACTCCAGAACAGTGGGAACAGCAGCAGTAGGTACTACGGGAGAGCACAAGTTCCAACACCAAATACTTGCAATGTGAGGCTCAGTGGAGAGAAGTCAAGAACACGTTTTAAAACTGACTAGCACCAAAGTTGTAAATATGACAACAAATATGAGTGAGAACGAGGGAGCGTCCCAAGTGGTAGAGGTGAGCGCACCAGGCAAGGTCATCCTTCACGGCGAGCACTCTGTGGTGTATGGGAAGCAGGCAGTAGCTCTCAGCCTCAACCTGCGCACACACCTCACCCTCACCACTGGCGGCAGTTCGGTTATACTCGACCTACCAGATGTTGCAATTAATGAATCGTGGACACTGAAAACGATGCAAGACCTATGGAGCCAACTAGGATGTAAACAGGAATCTGACGCAACCCCTTTATCAGAAGAGCAAGCAGCATATTTATGTCAGTTCCTGGGTATTGCGGATGACGTGACAAGTCCCCAGAAGCTGGCTCTCTTGTCATTCTTGCATCTGTACTTGGCGATCTTACCATGTCCAGTAGCCCTCAAGATTTCCGTTAGCAGTCAGCTACCAACAGGTGCTGGCCTTGGTAGTTCTGCTGCGTATGCTGTGTGTCTGTCTGCAGCTTTACTGCACATCTCAGGCAGTCTTAATCCATGTCAGTTGTCTTCTCCTGCAGCTGATGGCAGTGTTACTGATATTGGTAGTTTTAGTAATTTGAAAAATGTTTGTCACTGGGCATTTAGGAGCGAGCAAATAGTTCATGGAACACCATCCGGCATAGATAATTCCATCTGCACCTACGGTGGAGCTGTGAGTTTCAAATGTGGTAACAGCTCTCCCATGCATGTGCCACAATTGCAGGTGCTTTTAGTCAATACAGGTGTGCCGCGAAGCACAAAGGCATTGGTGACTGGGGTCCGCGAGCGGCGAGAGCGGTTAATGACAGTTGTGGAGCCAATCCTCCAGTCACTGGATGCTCTTGCAGACAAAGGTGTACAGGTGTTGCGGCAGCTTGCCTCTGCCGCAGATGACAACGAATATAACTCTGCCTATAGTACACTATTTGAGTTAGTAGACATTAACCATGCATTGTTGTGTGCCTTGGGTGTGTCGCACCCGAGCCTAGATCGCCTCGTGGGTATATCTAGATCTCACGACCTGCATGCGAAGCTAACCGGTGCAGGGGGCGGTGGTTTTGGCATTGTGGTGCTGGGACATGCTACTCCTGAGGCCAGAGTCGCGGCCTGTCGCAAAGAGCTGGAGGATGCTGGTTACCAAGTGTGGACAACGTCCCTGGGTGCACCTGGTCTCACTTTCCATCATCCTCAGTAATTTTCATGCTTCACTGTAATTTAATTAGCAAGACAGTCATGTTAATGGTAGACATTTTTAACATTTCAATCAGTATGCACCATAAAACCCTTGGATAGCATTGTGATCAAATATAACAGCCTTACAAAATAGGATTATTTCTTGAATTTATCAGCTCTACGTGTTCGCCACTTTATTCCCAGTTCAATGTTTTTGGTCGCTAAAACCATATAACAGCACATCTAGCAAAATGCAAGTATAAGGAACAAAAATAATAAATGTGATATCTCTTATAAAGTTTGTTTAACCTTTGTTAGTGACGGCAATGGGTCAATGCAATCACATTTGTTTACAATAGTTCTTAAATATTTAATAAGGTCATAGGTAAGCTAATGAAGTACTTAAAACTGGTTGATAACGACTACCATGGACTGCAAGTCATTTTGCACTGTTGCAAGTAAAAGGGGTGATGCTGCAATTTACTCAGTGTCTCGATATCACGTGTGTATTGTATTTAAACTTTGGTTATATTAAATATGGTATGGTATAACTCGATGGTTGTGATAGCTTACTGTCATGGTATATTTTGTAAAATATTTGCTTTGGCAAAAACGAGACATGTATAAGACCTTTCTGATCTGTTTCTAATCTTATATTTTTAAATATCAATAAACAGTTTTATTCTGTATTGAGGAATTTCTTTTGCAGCATTATTTGTATATATCAATAAACACATTTATGTATCTAAGAATTTGAGCTTAGTTTTTATTTTTTTAAGTTTATAAATGGAAATGAATAGTTGTGTTATGTATTAAGGAATTTGTTGAGAGTTTACAGAAGAGTGGATAAATATAATTAAGATACTTAAACAGACGAGTTCTAAAAAAAAAAGAATGAAAAACAAAAAACAAGCATTAAATAGAATCAAATGCTCTTTCATGATGCACACACACAGTTGTTATGAGGCAAAGGTTACGCTACAAAACGTGACGCATATTAATAGATACATAGTAGCTTCTTTTAACATTTTAAAAAGATTTAAAAAATCCAGATAAAAAAAATCATTTTTTTGTTATTTAACAAGCTTAAGTATACAAAGCAATGTACTGCTACCCTATTCTGTATAAAAGACAACACTGTAAATAAAAAACTAGCTACAAGCTCATCCAGTATCCCCCACCTCATCTCCTGGGAGCCGGCCGGCCGAGCGGACAGCACTCTGGGCACGTGATCCTGTGGTCCCGGGTTCGATCCCGGGCGCCGGCGAGAAACAATGTCAGAGTTTCTTTCACCCTATGCCCCTGTTACCTAGCAGTAAATAGGTACCTGGAAGTTAGTCAGCTGTCACGGGCTGCTTCCTGGTATGTGTGTGGTGTGGGTAAAGAATAGTAGTAGTAGTAGAAACAGTTAATTGAAAGTTGAGAGGCGGGCGGAAAGAACAGAGCTCAACCCCTGCAAGCACAACTAGGTGAATACCTTACAGGACGGCCTGTCATACATGGAATCAGGAGAGAACATGAAATGCAAGGCTGATCTATTAGCCTCCACTAGCAAAATCAGGGAGCAGCACAAGAATATCTTTCAATATTCCTGAGTGTATGAAGTAATTACAGAGCTCAAAGTACCTCAAACCATTTAATCTGAAGTCATTTATAACAGAGCAATCACAAATATAGTGTTGGAGAGTATGTCCCAGCTCTTGTTCACATAGTTTACAATTGGAATGTTCCCCATTGGGGGGATTCATTACCTGCAGCCACCTGCCATAGATATCGGTATTCCAGCCTAATTCTGGTAATTACAATGTCACACTGCCTAGTGGATGTTTTATACTGCCCGTACATATAATTCTCGGTTTTAAATATGTCATAGCTCTTTATACTCGTGCTTTCTGGCCCTTTGTGTGTCAGTGACTGCTCTTGTCTTCCCTAATTTCTTGATATATTGCGGCTTTTACAGCAGAGATTGTAATAAAAGCCGCAATATTTCAGGAATGGTGTGTATGTGTGTGTGTTGGGGGGGGGGGGGAGGGGTTGCAAGTCGCCGGCTTCCTGTCCCCGTCGGTGCCACTACAGGGAGATATGGTGATTATCGGGTAAATTTGGGTAAAGCTCACATTAATACTAATCTGAATTACTAATGTTTACCCAAAACGCTGCGCCCATGACTAGTAGTTTTACAACAAATATATATGTAAATATTGAAATAAGATTAGACCATATATGAATAGTATTGCTAGTGTAAATTAAAAATAATAATAAAAAAAGTTATTAAAATAAAAAAATAAAAAAAACTCAGTGCGCCGCCCGGGAATCGAACCCGGGTCGCAAGAATGGGAATCTTGCATGATACCACTACACCAGCGGCGCGATGAGTATGTAGTAGAAATATACGTTTAATATACCGAAATAAATTCAGACCTTTTTAAAAAGCATGATAAATATTGGAGTTGTTATGTACATTTTCAAATATATATAATCGTTGAATATATATTTCTGAAACTACAGTATATTGAAATAGAAATAATTATTATTACTTCGCGTAAACATCGATGGATACAAAATATATATTCCAAGTGTTGGAGTTTGCTATTATTCTCAGTTATGTTACTGCTGATTCACTTATATATATATATATATATACATATATGTTAGGTAAATCAAGCAAAATATATTACAAACTGCATTACTCATGACTCATGAAACTAAATTCCATATTTGTTGAATGGCGTTGCAACCACTCATTTAAACTGAATTTTATTAATAATAAAGTAAAAGGTATTTGTTAAATATTTCGCGTAATATAGTTATGAACTTTTTGTTTTTCTATACAAAATATTTTAGTACTTTAGTATTTTATAAACATTACACTTGACGTAAACATTGTGTCTTAGTGCTAACGTTGACTTGACTTTGGCTTAGAAAAGTTTATTGTATTATTCGACAGCAAGATTTGGGAAACTAATAATGTCAGAAAAAAATGCTTAATCAAATACTAAATACATTATATGTAAATTAAAATAGGAAAAATATATTAATGTTTGTGGATTTCGAACTTAGTATTTTAAACCCAGGTCATATTTCGAACAATACTTTTCCACATGGCAATTTCAGTTGTTATTGTTGGTTGAGGGGCGACGACGCTCGAGGGAGCAATTTCAGTGGTACTTGCAGTAGTCGTCCTCTTTCATCAGCAACGGCAACAACCTTCTAGCACCTGAGGTAAGAAAGACTCGATAACACCTGCCATGTTGTTATTTTAGATTCAGCTACTCAGAACAAGAAGTTCCAGACTTCCAGTAGCACGGGCTGTGGTGAGCCCGTAATACAGGTGTGGGCTGTGGTGAGCCCGCACCTGCTAGTACACGTTACATTAATTAAGTGGCTCTCAATAGTACTTGCAGAAGTCTGTACGTGAATTAAGGAAATCTCTTGCAAGGCGGGTCCGTCTAATTACCCAAATCTACCCAAGGCTACTCAAAGCTTCCTAACATTATGTAAGTAATGAAGAAATATACTATATTTAATCACTGTAAAATTGGTGCTGAATGTAGAACAGGAACAAACAAAATTTTTACTCGATATAATTTTATAACGAAACTGGGTCCATCTAATTTACCCAAAGTCACAACATTGTTGTTTGGATTGTCTGACTTCCTATGGCATCACCTGCCACTTAGTTTCATTTAATTTTGTTATAAAATTATATTATTTCAGAGTAAAAATATGTTTTTCCATGTTCTACATTCACCACCAATGTTATAGTGATTAAATATATCATATTTCTTCATTACTTACATAATCCTAGGAAGCTTTGGATAGCTGTGGGTAATTAAACGGATTGCTTGCCACTATTCTACGTGAGTAAAGTCTCGATAGTATCTGTCAGTATACCGTACGTGAGTTAAGGAAGACTGAATAGTAGATGCCAATGGGATATTTCAAATTGTTTATTAGCATTCTGACAAAACATATTTTACAACAATAAAAACCATGCATATTGTTAGGTTAAACTGTCTCAGTGGGTTAGGCAAGGAGAGAGCATTTAAAATTCACTGGTCAACTGTCTTGGGTACAAGTCATATGGGTTTATAGTAATATGCTTATAAATTACAGTGAATGTTATTAAAATACAATTGTAAGAATCATGGGTAGGGCAAGTACAATGCCTAAAGCTACTAATACACAGCGTTTTGAGCATAATATTGGGAAAAACTAAAAGGACTGAACCTAAAAATACTAAAATGTATTTTTAAGTTAATATTTTTGGGGGTGTGGAACAGATTAATTCAATTCCTTTATTTCTTATGGGAAAATTTGTTTCAACTTACGAATTTTCGACTTACGACCTGTCTCTGGGACCAGATTAAATTCGTAAGTCGAGGCCCCACTATATTGGGAAAAATAAATGCTAATGGCAAGTATTATATAGAAAATGGAGTATTCTACATGGAGATGATGAATTAGGGCTGTGTGCTGTAAGGATGCTTAACTGCTACTAAAAGTAAGTGTTTGGCTATTGTTTGAATAGCCATGCTAAAAATGGTAATTTAAGTCCATGTCAGTGTGGGTTATAATAGATTAATCAGGTTATTGTGGTCATGGTAACAATGACCCCCATATTGTTGAAGGCTTATATAGGACTGTTATATACAATATACTGTATATTGATATCCAAAGCATTGTTTTCTCTTTCAGGCATCATTGGCCATCACAACCGAAAAATGACAAAGAAGGCTGCTAAAGAAATAAGGATCCAAGATGTAAGTTATATTCACTACAGATTATTTGGTGTAGAATTCACATAGACTATTGGAAGCTGTTTTTGTTTTGATTTAGCAATTTCTTTGAAAAAATATTATTTTTGCACACTAAAGTCATTGTAGGAGTTGTGCTACTTAAAGTAGCTCCATCTAATTCCAGAAGGAAGTGGTCAGCTTGCCAGAAATGCCCAACAGGGCTCAATATGATACTCTGAGAGGGACATTTCCTGTCAACCTTAAACTGTGGCTATGGTCTGATTTGGTGCTCACCATATGTGCAAAAATAACAGTTTTTATATTTCGTCTTAGCTTGGTGAAGTTTATGCTCACTCAACATTACATGACATTTTTAATCTTGATTTTTCTCCTTCAAGATTTTTTGTTATTTTTAAAGTGATTCAGTAGATCTGTAAAGTACTTTATGCTAAAGTAAGGAAAATTTAAAAATGCCATATATTTACCTGAGGAATACTATATATAGTGGCCTTGACAAGGACAGGAAGCTGGTGGCTTGTAAAAATTTCCTCCATTTGCCCTGATGATTTTATCGAGCTGGATTTTGAAATTCAGCAGTGTTTAGGTATTTACATCTTCAGTGGGTGGGCAGTTCTATGGGTTTATAACCCATGAGTGAAAAAAAGCATCTCCTATTTTATGTCCTATATTATAGCTTGTTGAGCTTGAAACTGTTGCACCTTGTTTGTGTTGTGTCTGACCTTATAAAGAAGTTATCTGGATCAATATCCTTCAAATTATTCAATACAGTTTTATAAAAGTTTCAGTCAGATCAGCCCTGTCATGTCTGGTTTGCAGTGTTAGCCCTGTGGGCCCTCATCTGTTGCTAGTATGAGTCAACTTAGTTCTAGGATGATTTTTGTTGCCCAGTATTTAAATTTTGCCAAAGTAGATATGGCTTTCTGAAGATGAGGCCTCCGTGTTTGGATACAATAATCCAAATGGGGGTTCACCAGAGATTTATACATATAGGTTATCAACCTCTGGTGCTGGACTGATAGTGTGAGATATTTGTCAACATTATCTGTAATATATTTTTTAATTTTTTTCCTTGTGCTTGTAGATAATGCCTCATGTAACCCTTATACAATTCAGGGTTAAGGGTTAAATCAGTAGAATATTTTGAATACGTATCAATGTTTTTAACTTTATCATAAAGAATTCTAAATATGAAGTTATGTTTCATTTGGTTAAGGTAATCTTGAACAATTTCTGGGTTTGATACCCGGTCAAGATAAATATCATTTCCATATTCCGGATAGCTCATTTACTTAGTACTGGTAGTTTAAAATATTTAAAGTTTATCCAACTGAGAATGGTGTTTATAACAATATGTATTTTATATTCTTGCTTTAAATGCAGTTAGTTATTGTTCAAAACTGTTAGAAAAATTTAATTGCATAATTACAGTATACTGTACCATTATTAAGAGGAATAATTATGATGAAGAATGACTAAAATTTTTCCAGATGGATGGAAAGAAATGTAAAAAGAAGAGGAGAAAGACTGGCCAAAGCATCAAGAATGACATGGATGAGATTCTGAGAGACCCACGATTTGCTCATGTGTCTACCGATCTTAAACTTCGACATGTACCAAAAGAGAAAAGGAAAGTAAAACTTGACAGCCGGTTTCACTCTGTTTTGACGGTGAGTTGTGTGCAGTATTTGTTTAGAAATGCCTGGACTAGCAAGTTATATTAAAAGAATAAAGAAGAGTAACCTACTTTAGAAATAAATTGAAACAAGTAAATTTATTGGAAGGGTAGTTTTATGATGATTGGCATTTTTATTAAATCGTTATTTAATATGGTTTTTAAAGCAGTACCTGTATTGTATTCCTAAAGTTTTATCAAAATATATTAGCTTTTGTTAGAGAATATACATGCTGTATAACAGCAATTTGTATATAATAGTTTAATAAAACATGTATAGTAATGCACTGTACTTTTAATATACAGTGAAACCTCGGTATTCATACCTCTTCCAATTCATACTTTTCGAGTTTGGATGCTGTGTTCATGTTGGGTATTTGTCAGTTTGCTCGGCATTCACGTGTAAATGGGTGTTCCTGATGCATTAGTTTCACCTTAGCTGTCATTTAGTGTACAACCCACTACACTTTTCTCTTGGATATTTTGGATGTTCTTAGTTAAATAAGTGACCATGTCACCTAAGAAAGTTAGCAATAAGAGCCAAGCAAAAAGAAAAATAGCTAGAACCATGATAGAGATGAAGAAAGACCACATTGCTAATTATGACAGTGGTGCCTGTGTGTCTGCTCTTGTTACTAAGTTTAGTATGCCTATATCTAGTTATCTAATAAAAGTAATGTGGAAAATGGGGGTAAATGCAAAGTTTTCTTGTGAAATATCACCCCTGACAAAGCTGTGACAAACCGTGTTATAAACCTGTTGAATGACAGTGCTATGTCTCACTTTAGAAACATTTTAAAGCACAGGCAAAAGCAATCATCCATGGACAAGTTTCTTGTAATAAAAGCGTCCAGTGAGTCTAATGAGGGAAACAGAAAAAGACAGAAAAGAGAGAGAACCCCAGAAGCACAACCACCAGAAGTTATAATGGTATGGGGTCTCCCCCTTCCAAAGAATAACATCTCTTCCTCTGCCTCACCACCTTTCACATTTGCCATCAACTACCTTAAGTGCAGAGACAGTGCATACTGTGTTAGCATTTATTTCATTTAATTGTTGCATTAGTATATTTATTTTTGTGTTTTGGAAAGGATTAATCCAATTTACATTTTTCCTCATGGTAAGAGAATTGTTCAGTATTTGAACTTTTCTGTTTTCGTCCTGCATTCAGGAACCACTCAAGTCTGAATACCGAGGTTCCATTGTATATTTCTCTCAAATCAAACTTCTTTGAGCTAATTTGCCTTGGATGCTCCCATAGTCATCTTATTTGGTCCCCCTAGAACTCGTATTGCCTGTGAGGCTCTCAAGATATTGTCCTCATCATAATGTGAATCTTTGCAAGTGGTCCTGTAATGTGATCTAAGGAAGGGTGATGGTAGTGAGTTTAACTCAAGCCAGTACATAGAAAAACTGCTTATTGTAATACAAAGTAATGAATCATGACTCGAGTATCCATGCATGCAAGAATCATCAGCACCAAGAATGCCCATTATCACTCAGCAAACTGCTTTTATATCAAAGGCTACACATACTGCCACTAGGTTACCCTCGCTTTTAATCCTGGTGTTCTATCACTTAACTAAGCTCTGTAGTAGCTGATTAAGGAATGTTTTATTTTGTCTGGGTTTTCCATGAGTCTCTTTATCTTTGGGTTGTATGTTTTACCGTGTACCAGTCTTTATGTAGCCCACCCTCTTGAGCATTCCCAACGTCAGTAAACTGATGTACTAAATTACCCAAACCTTATCTAGCCAAGGACCCACGAAAAGGCAATGGAATTGCACATAAATATTGTGAGCCACTAGGATTTTTAGTACAGTACTACATCAGTTTTTAACCTTATTGGGATTAATATGTCAAAATGCAATGCACTAATCGAGAGGAGGGGTTGCTTTGTCTGCCACTGACTATCTCTATCCACTGCAGCTGTGTTTCATGGTGACCGTTCTTGGTTTTGATTGAAGGTCGACAGCCCTAGAGATATCTTTTATGGAGGTTTTTGGCTTCCATTTTCATAGGCTTAGATTTTTCATGTTTATCTTTGCATGGCAGACCTTCCCTTAGGTTTTGCTTGAGGGTATTGTGTGGTTACTATCTGAGATACCTCAACATTATTTCCTCTGATTTTATTCACTAGTGGTACTGGTCTGACCAGCCAATGACAGGTGCCTATGAAGGACGAAGACCCTGCAGTTTACCCTTGCCTCTGCTTGCTTGATACCTGCTTGATGGGGTTCTGGGATTTGTTCTACTCCCCATGCCTGGCCCGAGGCCAGGCTTGACTTGTGAGAGTTTGGTCCACCAGGCTGTTGCTTCGAGTGGCCCGCGGGCCCACATACCCACCACAGCCCGGTTGGTCCGGAACTTCTTTTAGAAAAGTCTAGTTTTCTCTTGAAGATGTCCACGATTGTTCCAGCAATATTTCTTATAGTTGCTGGTAGGACATTGAACAACTGCAGACCTCTGATGTTTATACAGTGTTCTCTGATTGTGCCTATGGCACCTCTGCTCTTCACTGGTTTTATTTTGCATTTTCTTCCATATCGTTCACTCCAGTACGTTGTTATTTTATCTCCTGTTATGTATGCCTGTTAAGCATACAGTACATGATGATCATAGATCAACTCATTTCTGAGGCAGCTTCCCTGAATGCATTGAAAGGTGGCTACAAGACACTTAAACTACCTTTTGAGAAATGTTTGTGAAAAGTGTTGAACTACTCAAACAAAAGTGATGACTATTTAACAAGCACAACTAATGACTTCCCCCATCAGGTGGTGGGCCTGTTCACCCATGGTTCAAGCATAGGGGGTTCTATAATCTTTAGCATTTTGAGTGTGTACTCTTTTTGCACATTGCATGTTTCATGTTGTGAAACCTGCCTCAGGTTGTGTTTCAGAGCCTTGTTCTGTGGTGTTTGTCTATGAAGCTTGTCTGTGATAGCTCTAGTGGTGCTTGTCTATGAAGAATTATCTGTGAGGAAAGTAGTTTCTGATAACTCCACCTGTTATCTGTGAGGAAGTTAGCTTCTGATAACTCCAACTGTTATCTGTGAGGAAGTTAGCTTCTGATAACTCCACCTGTTATCTGTGAGGAAGTTAGCTTCTGATAACTCCACAGATAACTCCACCTGTTATCTGTGAGGAAGTTAGCTTCTGCTTAGGGAAGATTTCATTAGGGTCATTCCCAGGTTGGATAATAGTTATATTAATTAATAAGATGTTAGAGTTTACTGTGTTAATCTTTGTGTCAGATCTTCGCGTGTTAACAGCTTACACCATCTCTTACACCCTGATAATAGCAATAATTAAAAGTGGAGAATTGTGTCTAGGTGATACGGCTGTGTGTTTATTTACCAATTTGTAATCTTTCATGCTTGGTTTCAGGTTTCTGATAAAAAAACACAAATCTCAGGCAAATTTATCCCATCACCTGCTGTGACTGGGTCTAGTTTGTGACTAGATCTGAGTTCATATCTCATCCAGAGACTTTCTATGTGTTTGTCAATGGGAGGCATTGGGTGCCCCACCAGAATCTTGGGTACCTCCTGAAGTTTGTTTACATTGTTTGTATAAAGTTTGCATCCCATTTCTGGGTATGAATTGAGGCCCTATTGCAGATTCTCCAGTCTGCAGTCCATCACATGCTAGAGGAATGCAGTGTAAGGTGCTCCAGTCACTCTGTAGAGTCCCCTGATTTAAAGATCCTTCTGAAGCTTCTAAAGCTTTAGAAGAGCTTCTTCAAGCTTCTCAGCCTTTGTCACCAGTCATTGTCATGCTGGATTGGGTCATTGGTCTTTGGTGTATATATGTGCTCACATCAACAAATAAGAGATGGTGGCAGAGTGGACAAATCTTTTTTGCCCATCTCTCTCCTCATGGGATGGTCATGAACTGTTTACTGGTTTTGCTTTATTTCATCTGTAGGTATAGGGCTTCACCAGTTATTTCCCATTGTGGCACTGGATTCTTTGCTGTATTCTTTACTCTGACTTCTTGAACATTAGTCCTCATTGTGGTTTACATTTGGGAAGGTGTTTTGAATATGCTTGTAAACAGCCTCTACCAATGTTTGTCTGATTAGGATAGAATGAGAGGTGTACGACGGCTTCTTACTTTGGATATATGCCATGTCTGGTCTTCACCAGGAAGACTATTTTATTACCTCTTTGTGAAGCCACAATCTTCCTTTCTCTTTGGCTATATTTTCCAGTTTAGAAGCATTTGTTATGGATGCAGTATGTCTTAACTGAAATCAGTGTGAGAGATGTTTTATTTGTTCAGCATTTGTTTACTGACTCGATCTTATTCCTGACCCTTTTTGTTATAAATGGGCCAGGATACATAGCAGATTGACTGCTGAAGCTGCGCAAACCCTTTGAGCCTATCCGCTGATCTTTGTGTGTGTGGAAATTTTAGTGACATTGTTTTGTCAGTTATATGGGAGGTTGGTGGCGAATTTCCTTCTTAGTGATCAATATATGTCTTTTTCTTCACCAATATGAGTTGGTTTGCCAGATGTTTGAGCATTTTATTGTGCTCTGCCAATACAATGATGTAAATTTTCTTGGTTATTGAACCCTGGCTTTACATAATGCTATTGTTTCTTCATAGTCAGTTCTTTCAGAGCCTCTGTCGGTTGAGTTTGGGTGGCTATCTGTTGATCATTTTATCATTTTAGGTTATGCATTTTATATCATCATTCCTCCCATACTCTGTTGGAGCCTTCTTGGTAATTTTTAACATGTGATTCTTTTCTTACTTGCTTACCTTACTCAAGTCAATGAGTTCCACGGCTTCACCATTTGGCAAATATGGAGTTTGTTTACGGTGATTGGATGGTTTGACTATAGCGTTCTTCTTATCTACTTGCCAAGATTTAGTTGCCTGTTTTTGCTATGATCCTCTCCTCTTTCCAGCATGGTGTGGTGATGTTGCAGTGGTATCTCAATTCAGTACGCCTCCTTGTCTTCTGCTCTGTTCCTCAAACCCACACTATGGTGCTGTGTTCCAAAGCTTGCCTTTCACAATTTTTACAGAGGTAGGTTGGACTCAGTCAGGTCGGGTTATACTGTACCTATGTACCCATGTTCGGTGGAAGTATGCCTCTCTAAATGCTTTCTTCTCAGCCACGTCCTGTTTGGGCACCAGGGTCCATGTTCTTTGAAGTGGGACTTTGTGGCCAGATACCTGTCTGATTTTCCTCGGCCCTAATGGTTCTGGGTTATCTTGCCTACATCTGATTCTGGCTTGGTGTCTAGGTTATTGTGAGCTGTTGTCCAGTTCATATTCCACTCGTTGAATCCTACTTTCCAGATGTTCTACTTGGGTGATCGCCCTGTCTTTTCTTTTGTTGTTTTGCAATTCATTAGGATTTGAGAATGGGAGCTTCCAAGGGCCTTTGGCTCAGAATTAGGTTCTTGAATGTGTACAATCGCTCCTTGCCGAGTATGACCCTCCGCTGCTCCCATTCTTACACCCTTGTCCCTTTTATACCTTCCCACCAAGTGTGTTTGGGTTGTCGGAACTTCAATTGATGATAGCCAGCTGCTCCTACCCATTTGTGGTGATGGTGGTCTGAACTGGTGGCAGTTGTCGTAACTTTTGATCTACTAACTGTAGTTTGCAGAGTGATAATTGAGTCTTGGTACAGTACTACTTGTTCTTGCTTGCAGCTAGAGTTTGAGAGTTGTGGTTTGTTCCTTTGTAGATGATGATGGTTAACAATAATCAATTTTTATTTAAAAAAAATACAGAACATGATACAGTGGTTTTTTAATTGTTAGAATATTATATGTATATGGCATTTAATAATTATAGGGAGCTGGTATGCATTGGTGGCTTGAATAAGACTCATCACTGTTTTCTTTTCCTTGATATGTGAGAGGACTATTTGCAAATGTCCCTCTCATGATAGGGATGAAAGTCTTCAGTGCCTGGAGGGTAATGTGTCTTGGGGTGGACCATATAGGAGTTTGCCATGGGAGCATCCGAGGGTCATTCACAGAAAGGAGTACTGTACTGCATTTCACTATGCTCAACACCATATTTTGTTTTATTTATTTTTTTCTTGGGGTTTTGTTACCTGTTTTACTTATAATTAGTTAAGTTAATCACAATCTGTTTTTGTATGATAATTATTTTTAGTTATATTTTAGTGGCTGTGAAAGCTGTTTTGGAAATGTACTGTACAGCAGTGTAATTTACTTTACTGCTTTTAGGATGACAAGTTCTATGAAAAATCCATAATGGATCCACGAGGTAGGAAGGGAAACTACTCAACCAAGGAAGATCTACTGAAGTTTTATCATATGTCCTCTGATGAAGACTCTGATGATGAGGAAGATGACGATGAGGATAAAGGAGAAAATGGTGATGAAAATGAAAGTAGAGGTGACTATGATTCTGATGAAGAGAAGAGTGAGAGCCTGGAAAAGAATGCATCTTCAACCAATCTAACAGAAAAGGGTCAGTATTCATTAGGCACTGATATAGAACAAGAAAATGAAAGTGACCAAAGAAAAGGTAAAAGGGCATTATTCTTTATATTTATATGCCTTGTATAGGTACCAAGGCAGGTATAGTATTTCAGTTATCATGGTGATAACTGAAATACTGTACACGAGTACTGCACAGAATTGAACCCTTGAATAGTAGACGAGGGTTCTAATTCTTGGGCAGAACTCCTTTATTTAAATTTATTTCATTGTACAGTACAATGCTGTGAGCTCTTATTTTAATTTTTGTAGTTAATATTCCAAAAGGTGCTTTTTAGATGAATACCAGGGTCAGAAGTGTGCTTGCTTGGAAGAGTTACGTAACATATAAGGAGTGAGTCAAAATGTAATTTGACAGTACAGTACTTGTACAGTATGTGGACTAAAGTGAGATTGTAAAGTTGTCTATGATTAACTGAATAAAAGCTTGTGCAATGTGCAGGTGGTTGATGTGCTTTTATAGAATAGGACTGTTTTTCTTCTGGGAAATAATTTTAATTTAACAACTAATATTAAGATTAAATAAGAATTTTGTGTGTGTGTGTACATAAAAGTCAATTTACTGTAGTGAAGGTGACAAATTAATTGTAGATAAATTACAATTGTTGTACCTATTTAAAAGTTTAAATGGCACCTTCTCTGAAAGTTATAAACTGGCTATTTCTTGGCCATTCTTCAGAACAAATTTACAAGACAGAAGCAAAGGAAGAGCCAGAAATATCAGAGAAAATGAATCAACTATTACAAGACATGACGCAGGACTATGCAAGGGGTGAAGTGCTGTTCTCGGATGATTCTTCAGATGACGACTCCACAACAAGTGACGAAGATAAGAATGATGGAGAATTTGAGTGGGGGGAACTCGACCAAGATGCTGTCTGGGATGATGGAGATACTAATGTGGAAGTGAGTACCAGTGTTATATAGTGGTTTTTCTCAACCTGTCCTTTCATCTAATTTAACTTTTTTTCTGGAGGGTGCCCCTACGGCTCCCTGGAGTTGTCCAGGCTGATAGGGATAGTCGTAACTTTTGGCATCAGTCGATGTGGGTGGAGTTCTAGGCCTACCAGGGACCACGGCCAGAACCTGGCCCCCTCAGAGAGGCACGAGGAGCAATGGCCTATAGAAATGCACATGTGATTTTGGAGCATTCTATATCTGCCATCGACCGGGACAGGCACCCAGAAAGGTAAACTCCTCAAAACAAACCCCTATTCTGGTAAAACCAACGAAAATAACGAAACAAATGGACTGAACTCCCCCAAGGGAAAATGAGGAAACAAGCATGACGTCACACGAGCTGCGACACATCTCTGCGCAGCTTCCCCCTCCTCGGGAGGAGGAAAAGGGATCCCCAGACCCTTGCGCCGGCGATCCACACCTTCAGTTCCTCAGCTGATGGAATTAGGCTTAGTCGTTGTGGCTCCAGCTCCAGATTCTTATTTGTGCTGAGCCTGGGTTTAGTACTTCTCTTAGGTGGTGTGAGAGCTGGGAGTAATATTCACAGGTACTCGAGCTGCATGTGCTTAGGGTCACCTTCCCTGAGTGCCCTGTAAGTACCGCCCTTGGGGCTTGGGGTTCTCTTCCACAAGTCACCTTGGGTCTACCTCTGTTGGTCTTATGCTGCTTGGCGATTAACTGCCCCGAGTGTTTTGGGGGTTTTGAGTGTTTTTGGTTTTGAGGGTTTACAACAAGATTAATACCAGTATTGAGAGGCTTCAGTTATGAGGACTGGTTGAGAGAACTCAGCCTCACAATCTTAACGGAGAGAAAAAACAGAGGGGGATATGGTAACTACATACAAGATATTGAAGGGAATAGATAAGGTGGATAAAGGAAGCCTATTTAAATTAAAAAAATAGGTAGGACAAGGAGACATCGGTGGAAGCTGGATATGCAATTAAATTGAAGAGATGCAAGGAAGTTCTCATTCCCTGTACAGGTGGTAGAAAATTGTAATGCTTTGATGGAATAGGTTGTTGAAGCCAGTTCCCTCCACAAATTAAAAAAAAAACAAAAACATTATGAAAGCAAAAATATTGAGTTAGTTTAGTTCATTTATTATGCACCCCATACCTATCTTGTGGGTGGTAGTGGAAAGGGTTACAGAAGCACCTAATGGGCACAGGGACTGAACCCTTAATATTGAGAGGGGGTAAATTTACACACCATAAAGCGGGGCATAAAGAGCTTGAGCTCACTTCCCCATAGTCATTGATAGGCATGCACTGTACATTAGTCTGGTAAGGGTCCAGTGAGGTACTATAACACATTAAGTTGAAGCTGGCTGCAGATTCTATCCTAGCAATTGAGTCTGTCACTAAATTAAAAAAAAATCCAGACACCTAAGTCCATATTGTATTTTACCAATGGGTCTTTCATGTTTACCTTATTAAAGACAAATATGGGAATCACTTTGATACACTGTATTACAGTAGGAAATACATCCATTTTCCAAATTCACCATTTTAATTTGTTTTTAATTTTTAGGAAACGTCACGCTTTGCTGTATGCAACCTTGATTGGGATCGTATTAAGGCTGCAGATATCATGGTGTTGTTTTCTTCATTTTGCCCAAGAGGTGGCTCTGTGAAGAAAATCACTATATATCCCTCTGAATATGGAAAGCAACGTATGGCTGAAGAGAACATGACTGGGCCACAAGAATTGAAATCAATACCTGGGTGTGACATTGAGGATTCTGCTAATGATGCAGTAGATCTAGATAAACTTGAAAAGGGTAAGTTATATCATATATTACATAACTGGCCTGTAATAAACAATTAAAATTACACACAGAAATTACAATAGCGTATGCACTATTGTATTGTATTGTGTATGCATGTAATGGAACAAAAACCTGCACCTTATTGTCCGAACTGTATTGTGCCTCTTAGTCAAGCACCGCCTTATAGAATGTCCTGCTTTTCAGAATAATAAAAGTCTTACTTTACCCATTTCTCTTTGAGTCACTTGTTATTTGATATGACTATGACATCATCAGTAAATCCAATTCCTTTAATATCACTTCTCTTTTGCGCTTGTATTGGTATCATGAACGATGTCTAAAACTTTTAGACTGTCTTGTACTACTGATGGTGTGATAGTCTACCATACTTGGTGCTCTCTTTTGATAATTACATGTATTGTCTACATTAGTGTTAACTTGTGCTTCATCCTGGGTAGGTAGAGAGACGTGAAAACAAAACCCCGCTCTAATAAGCAAATAATGGTGGGTTGATATAAGCAGTGCAGTGATGCATTTGATGTAATAATACAGTAATCTGTTGCACACTAATTGCAATGCTGGTCTGACTATTAAATTGAAATATTGATCATCAGCTCATCTTTGATGTGTATTTAATATAGTCTTCGTTACAGTAGTCTGTTCTTGGAAATGTAATGACGTGTCATGATATGAGATGAGGCCTGGAGTAGAGCAGAGTGCTTGAGCAAGGCCGGGGGTAGAGTGCACGAATGTGAAGAGGATCATGGAGCATTGTGGGATGAAAGCAAATAGCTCAAGTTTGGCAAGAATCTGGCTGTCTGCTCTGTGGCGAGGTTATAGCATCTTTTGAGTGTAGAAACTAGACTCATTGAGTGTTATTGTTACTGGTGTTGAAGAAGATCCAAAATGTATACAGTGCATTTGTCACTGAACCACTATTGGAGTTAGACTGTCAACAATCCATACTTTGACAACTTAAATTGCATGCTTCTCCCGACTTGCCAAGTTAACCATCATTTTGCAGGTTACCTTTTTGTGGCCCTAGTGGTTCCTGTACCCTTTGGAAGAAATATTAATTGTAATTAGTGTAGAACTTCTTGGAATGTGGAATTCTTAGGGATACGTTATGTGGAATTAACAGGCACATCTAATTGCCTTCAATGAAACTAATGAGAATTTGGAGCAACTATGTTACTCTTAATATAGTTGCAACACTGTATTCGGGAGGTGTTGTCAGGACTGGCTTGAGGTGGTAGTTCTTGCTATTTAGAAACTCGGTACTCAAAGGGCTTACCCTAAGTGTTTTCACCCCATTGCCCTGACGAGTTGCATCCGCAAGCTCTATAGGTGTATGGTTAATGCGCATCTAATTTGATTCTTAGACTTCTTTTTCCCTTCTCAATTTGACTTTCACAAGTGATGCAGCAGCATGACTTACGTTTTAGTGGACTTTGAGGTCTACTTTCATACTGCCTTCACTGCTAAGATCTCCAATGTTGCTCTTCTTTTTGACTTTGAAAAGGATTATGACACTATCTTTAGGAACAATATTTTATCCTAAGTACATTCTTTTGGTCTTCGTGGCAATCTCCCACCATTTCTTCAAAGCTGTCTCTCTCTCTTGTTGCTTATTTAAAGTGAGACTTGGTACCATTTTCTCTGACTTTTTCAAGAATATGAAGGTGTTCTTCAAGATAGTGTTTTGAACTCTACTCTCGTCCTGGTTGCCTTAAATGGTCTTCCTACATCCCTTACCTCTGGAATTTCTGTGGCCCTTTTATGTTGATAATCTCACTCCCTGCTGTCATAGTGATGACTCTCCCTTTCCTCTAACAACAACTTCGTCTTGCAATTGATGCCATGTTGTCCTGGGCCACCAGTCATGGCTTCCTGACTTCTGAGATGAGTTTATCTTTTTGTACTTGTATTGGCATCCTTAGTGATATTTATCACTTTTTGAATGTCCAGCGACACTGAATGAGCTAAACAGTCTTCTCAACTTAGTGCCTTCTTTTGATAATTACTTTGAATATGTGGATATGGTGGCACACAAGTAAGCACTTCTATGCTAAACTCACAAGTGCACTCGTGAACTTTGGTAATGTGTGGGCATAGCATGAATTAATTGATAATTCATTGTGGTGGGGGGACAGGCAGCCAGTCTGTATTCATACACGTTAGGCTTACATTGAGGCCTCCCTCCCCCCCTTCCCCCCCAGGTTGAATTACTGACCACACCCAGGCTGCAACCCTACAACAAGCTGACTAACTCCCGAGTATCTACTTACTGCTAGGTGAGCAGAGGAGCATTAGACGATAGGAAATGCGCCCAGCCATTTTTGTCCAGCCTGGGATTCAAACCCAGAATTCTGGATTGGGAGTCGAGAACGAACCCGACTTCTACCAAGACCTCTGATGATCCCAGTAGTTAGTTAAGGTGGATTAGCATAGTTTGTGCTTATTCTCTGGTCTCCATTCTTATGCTTTGGGTTGTATTCAAATATTACACATCCCAATTATTCTATACATTGTGATTTATTTGTGGTGGGAAAGTGCAAGGAGCATGAAATATTAATGTCAATATTTTTATTCAGTAAATAGTAGTGCAAAAGAGGACTGTTATAGGTCCATGTAACATAACCTTGTTTTCCCATAAACTTGCAAGTTAGATTTGTACAGATCTTACAGGAACATGTCCCCAATGTCTACTGAGAACCACCTGTACATTCTTTTTACTGAAACTGAAAAGAAACATGATATATTCCATACTTGCCTTCCAATAATTGAAGATATATGGTACTGTACTTCTTCCCAATAACTTTGTGTTCACTGTCTGGTACCTTTCCTGAATTGATCTCTAGTCCAAAGTACTACATGCCTACATAATGCCTTGTCACTCTCATTGGCATTACTCTTACATTATCACTTGGCTTCATCATCAAATGCTAGAGTTTTGATAAGGTTTCCCAAATGGCAGAGAGGCTTTAAAGGAATGAGTCGTATTATACGACATTAGTTCTATTTTAAGTTGTGTAAAATGCTTGAATATTAATACCTAGCTTAAGTGTATAGAAATTATATAGTGTATCATACAGTACTATATAATTTCACTTCACTGTGCATAACCATATTAGGTGGATATGCACAGTGAAGTTACAATAGCATGGCATAGTCTGTAGTTCAGTTTGGTTCGTTCTCGACTCGCAATCGGGAATCTTGGGTTCGAATCCCGGTCAGGACAGACATGATTAGGCACGTCTCCCTTCTCCTAATGCCTCTGTTCACCTTACAGTAAATAGGTACCTGGGAGTTAGTTGTGTTGTGAGGCTGTATCCTGAATAAGGTCAGTAGATTGACTATGGTGGGCTTAATATATAGATATATACACATACACACACACACACACACCGTCTGCCTGTCCCCTACAAAATTAATCTGAAAATCTTTTAGAGCAATGCATTTCTATTGAATTTACATCCTGGGTCACCCCAAATACACGTATTACCCACTAGACCACGATGAGCTTGGATATTTTGAATTGTCTTTATATATGCATAGAATATATTTTCACTGAATGATTTTTCACTTCAGTATTTCTTTTCATAACAGGTATGCTTGATGAAAATGCTGGAGCAACCAAAGCCCATTATGAGGCACTTCGACAATATCAGCGTAATCGTCTTCGTTACTATTATGCTGTTGTCGAGTGCAACTCTATTGATACTGCCAAAGCTCTGTATCAAGAATGTGATCGCAAACCATATGAAGGAGCTGGTATTCTTCTTGATCTGCGGTACATTCCTTCACATATGACTTTCGATGAGGTTTGTGATGTGATAAATACTTTCTGATGTAGGAATGTAAATTTGTTTTTGTGGATATTTTGGAAGATAATGTTTATTCACAATCTAACCTGAAGGTCATAATTAACCTTTTGAGTTCTGAATTAACATGTAACATTAAAAACAAAAATTTTGTTTGTTTAGAGGCCTTATTGGATTATAGAATATCTGTTGTAGAAAAAAATGACCAAATTATCAAGCAAAAATAAAAATTTAAAATCCTACATTAATAATAATAGTGGATAGATGGAGAACTTTACCTACCGGTAATAACCCTTGTTACCTTACTTGTCTCAGTGACCTGTCCTTGAAGTTTCAGGTGTTAAAAATTTCTCCTCTTTTATTTTGTTGATTCTTGTTACAATTTTGTATATCGTGATCATATTACCTCTTATTCCTATTTTCCTGCTTTGGCATGCTTAATGCCTACCTCCTTTCCTCATAGCTCACGTTCTTACAGTTCAGGAGCCATTTAGTAGCATGTCTTTACACTATTTCTAGTTTGTGCTTCTTGAGATATAAGCACTATATACCACTGCACACACACACATTTATGTGTGCGTAGAAGTGGGCATTTCCCATCTTGTACACTCTGGCCACCTCAACCTTGTCCGAAATCTTTATGGAGAGAATTTATTTTGTCTCGTGGCTTTCAGCTCGTCTTGATCGTAAAGCTGGTTCCTCCTCATCTGCTGTAATTTCCAAATGGCTTAGTACCACCCAGGGGTAGGGGTGATGACTCCCTTAAATAAAAGACTAAAGTTGTAGTTAGAACACTTCTGAGACACATTTGTTTACTACAGTACCTAATATTTTTCTTGCCATTTTCAGTTTTGATCTTGCCTCTCAAGTTTACAAATACAAGGGATTAAATAATTAGACTAATTATGTTGTGGCTGTAATTGCTCTTTAGCATTGAATGATATGTCTTTTTTTGTGTATTGTGCTTGGCTGCCAATAATTGCATTTTTTTGCTTTTCCTCTGTTTTGTTCTCTCTGTATTTCTTATGTTTTTCTTTCTCATTGCAAGGATCTTCTGTTAAACTTTGGACTAGCATTACTTTGCTTCCTTGCCCCTTTTAGGATGGAAGGAATATTCAGCTAAACAGTTTTGGACCACAGAGTAATTCTTCAAGCTTCTGAGTTTTGTCTCTCACTGCATACCTTTAATTTTTTTTTAATACATTATCCTCATCTTTATACTGCTCTCCTATCTCTGCCTTCTTACTATGCATACATGATTAAATCAAACTCAGTGACTAGTGGTCACAATTGGAATTTTGTGGTCTATTCTCTTAGGTCTACCCCCATCCTGGGTGAAAATGGGAGTTCTAGTTAGCATGTCAAATACAGAGGTGAGGCCGTCAGAAAGTTTACTCGAGTGGTGACGACTAGCATGGCTCTCCATTCTTGAATGTCTAGATATCATTATCTGCCATAATATTCAATGTAATTCTATTGCTTGTATTAGTCCTATACACTATGTTTACACCCTTCTCTCTTCCTACAAGCTTATCATTGTTATATTTTGGATTACAGGCACCACATGATGTGTGTGAGACAGTCCCCAAGTCTTACGAGGTGAAGACTTTCATCACTACAGCTTTACATGACTCGCGCCCAATTTTAACCTGGGATGAAACTGACCCTGAAAGGAAGAAGACATTATCACATGCCATGAGTAAAGCCATGAAGGGAGAAGAAATAAACGAGGATTGTTTAAAGGTTTGTTTATTGATAATGACATTCAAAAAGTATCGAGGGGAATTGCTGTTGCAGTAGCTACTGCATCAGTAGCCGCCGCTTTAGCTGCAGTAGCCACTGCGGCCACTGCAGCTACAGGAGCTTCTGCAGCTACAGGAGCTTCTGCAGCTACAGGAGCTTCTGCAGCTACAGGAGCTTCTGCAGCTACAGGAGCTTCTGCAGCTACAGGAGCTTCTGCAGCTACAGGAGCTACTGCAGCTACAGGAGCTACTGCAGCTACAGGAGCTACTGCAGCTACAGGAGCTACTGCAGCTACAGGAGCTACTGCAGCTACAGGAGCTACTGCAGCTACAGGAGCTACTGCAGCTACAGGAGCTACTGCAGCTACAGGAGCTACTGCAGCTACAGGAGCTACTGCAGCTACAGGAGCTACTGCAGCTACAGGAGCTACTGCAGCTACAGGAGCTACTGCAGCTACAGGAGCTACTGCAGCTACAGGAGCTACTGCAGCTACAGGAGCTTCTGCAGCTACAGGAGCTTCTGCAGCTACAGGAGCTTCTGCAGCTACAGGAGCTTCTGCAGCTACAGGAGCTTCTGCAGCTACAGGAGCTTCTGCAGCTACAGGAGCTTCTGCAGCTACAGGAGCTTCTGCAGCTACAGGAGCTACTGCAGCTACAGGAGCTACTGCAGCTACAGGAGCTACTGCAGCTACAGGAGCTACTGCAGCTACAGGAGCTACTGCAGCTACAGGAGCTACTGCAGCTACAGGAGCTACTGCAGCTACAGGAGCTACTGCAGCTACAGGAGCTACTGCAGCTACAGGAGCTACTGCAGCTACAGGAGCTACTGCAGCTACAGGAGCTTCTGGAGCTACAGGAGCTTCTGGAGCTACTGGAGCTACTGGAGCTACAGGAGCTACAGGAGCTACTGGAGCTACTGGAGCTACTGGAGCTACTGGAGCTACTGGATCTACTGGAGCTACTGGATCTACTGGAGCTACTGGACCTACTGGAGCTACTGGAGCTACTGCAGCTACTGCAGCTACTGCAGCTACTGGAGCTACTGCAGCTACTGCAGCTACAGGAGCTACTGCAGCTACAGGAGCTACTGCAGCTACAGGAGCTACTGCAGCTACAGGAGCTACTGCAGCTACTGGAGCTACTGGAGCTACTGCAGTGGTTACTGCAGCTCCAGTAGCTGTAGCTGCAATAGCTGCAGCAGCCGCTGTAGCCACCGTAGCTGCAGTAGCCACTATAGCTACTACAGTGGCTACTGCAGGAAGTCTCAGGAAATCTTCCCGTAGCTACTGTAGCTGAAGTAGCCACTACTGTCGCCGCTGAAGTAGCCATAGCAGCTACCACAACAGCAGCAGCAGTAGCCACTGTAGCTGAAGTAGCCACTGTAGCCGCTATGTCGCCGCTGTAGTAGCCATAGCAGCAGCAGCAGTAGCTACTTTATCTCCAGTCAAGGCTCACTCACGTCCCAAGGTGTGATGTTTGCCAATATCCTTTATTATAGTTGGTGCCATCGTCCTAGGCTTGCCAAAATCATACAGCTGATATCGTCCAAGGCTGCGAGAAATCCCAGGGTGCAGTGGCAGCATTGATCTGTAATGTACAATAAGATAGATCGTAAACTTAATATGCTTGTGTAAAGTATTTCTTAATTTCTTGCATTTGCTACTAGTAATCAGAAACAAACGTCATGCTGTACAATGATTTTAATGACCGACTATATTCTTTCCAAATTGGAAACCCAACAGCAATATTTAAATATTTTGCAGCTTAATTAAGCAGCTGTTTAAATGCAAGATGCTTAATAAATAAGAGAAATATGTTGTATTTAATAAACCTTGTCTATTGAATCAATACTTCTAGCTGTTATTTGAATAATACAACTTAGGAAAAATAAATATTACCACATCTTGCTACAGCCATTTCTAACAATAAGACCTATGGTTGAGTTTAATGTTAGGATGACATGTTGCAGATATCGGCTAAGGTTGCTAAATATTTATGATCATGATTTAGTTTTTTCTGATTATTACACATCAGTGAGCAGGCATGGGAATTTTTTTTTTGGGTGGGGGGGGGGGGGGGGGGGGGGGAGAAAGAGGTAATGGCAATTTAAGCCTTCAGGTTCCTTGTATATAGTAAGCTTTATTTTACCTCCTCGATATGATTGATATGAAACTACCACTGTGGTAGTGTGGGTGTCGTCAGGAGGGACCACTGTGGTTGTGTGGGTGTAGTCAGTGGGGGACCACTGTGGTAGTGTGGGTGTAGTCAGTGGGGGACCACCTTCCAGTGGCCTCCACCACCTTCTCCCCTAACTTGTTCCAACCGTCTACCACTCTGTGTGCGAAAGTCAATTTTCTTATATTTCTTCGGCATCTGTGTTTAGCTAGTTTATATCTATGACCTCTTGTTCTTAAAGTTCCAGGTCTCAGGAAATCTTTCCTATCGATTTTATCAATTCCTGTTACTATTTTGTATGTAGTGATCATATCACCTTTTTCTTCTGTCTTCTAGTTTTAGCATATTTAATGCCTTTAACCTCTCCTCGTAGCTCTTGTGCTCTGTGTGCTAGCTCTGGGCTTGTGTCCTGTCATTGGCATCCAGGCTGTGTGGCCTGGTGCCTCTGATTACTCGTCTTGGTCACAAGTGTTGTGTTCTGATGCCGGTTGTTTGGGTTTTGGGCTGCACCCTTGGCCTCCCGGGTGCGGGCACTAGGATTTCTGAATGTGTTTCGAGCTACATGCTCTGGGTTATCAGGTGGCGTTGACATGGCTGTTTATATTGATGCTGTCATACTATGTTTGAAGTTTTTAATACTTGTGTTATCACTTCAGGGCTTTCTTGCTTCATCCAGTGAAGATGAAGACAACAGTGACTTAGAAGAGGAGGAGGAAAACAGTGATAGTGAGGATGAAGCCACCAAGGCGTCCCAAATTGCCAAGTTTAGAGCATTAATAAATGAAATTGATGAAAAGGAAAGAAAAAAGAAAGAAAAAGATATTGATATGGAAGAAACCTTTAATCTGGAAGAAGACTCTAGTGAGAACAGAGAGCAAACAAACAAGGAAGGTGCCAAAATAACAGAGCAACTTAATCCTTTTGAAAAATATTTGGAGAAAAGAAAGAATAAGAGGAAAGAAAGAGAAAAAAGGAAGAAGAAAAATGATAAAGATACAAGCTCTGAGGAGGATAGCGAACACGATGGTGCTATATCAGACGACGATCTCCCAGATAATGTTGGAGATTTGTACAACGATCCCTTCTTTGCTGAGGAATTAAAGAAGATGGACGGCAGAAAAGATACTAAGAAGAAAAAGAAGACTAAGAAAGACCCAGCTAATACTGAAGAGCATGAGAGTAATGAGCAGGTGAATATCACTTTTTTTTTTTTTTTTTATAATTATTGTAAACCATAAATACTTCAACTTCTACAGTAATCTTAATTTTTAAAGTGATATACACATAACTTTATTGTAAATAGTGGCTTAATAATTTGCAGTATCTTAGGATTGGACCATGTAGTGTGTGAATTTATAAGGTTTGTGTGTCACGATAAAAATATTTTCTTCCCAGGAGGATCTTGAGCTGTTACTAATGGATGAGGATGCCGAGGAAAAGAAGCACTTCAGTATGAGAGAGATTATTGAGAACAGCAAGGATAAGAAGAGGAGAAGGAAAAAGAAAGCAAAGAAGCAGCAAGAGAAACTAAAGCAGCAAGAGAAACTGAAGCAGCTAGCCTCTGAAGATGACTTTAAGGTTAGAAAGCACTTGGTATTAGAACATCAAGTTTTTAAAGTGCGATATTTACGAAGACCTAATGCCTGCTGTAAAGTACTATTAACTCTAATGGAATGCAACACAAGGTCAAAGTAAAGACAAGTAAAGTTTCATTCAACCTCTCAGGATATTACTATAATGAAGAAAATACATTACTATAATGAAGAAATAAAGCCACTAGTCTTCAACTATCTTAGATGTGTGTTTAAATTCGATATAAAATTACTATTATTATTTTTTTTTCCTCTAAGAGAGATTGATCCATAAACTTACACCAACACACACTTGTAGGTGGCCTACCTAACCTACTGGGTTGTTAAGTGTTTGGCCCAGGTAGATGTCACTCATTTAAAACAGAATTTCACCAGTCGAGATGTATTTTCTAATCTATAATACATGCCAACTTAACTTTCAATAATACAGTATTAGGTAACGTTATAAAAGAATAACCGATACTTACGGGTTAAAAGTCAAACGTGGCGGAATAGTGTGTTGACATACTATGGTAGCATTTTCAGTTGACTTGGTGAGCTCTGGTTATGGTAGGCGAACATTGCTGCTTGAGGACCATGTCATCTGAAAAAGTCATAAAACACACTGTACATTGTCGCAAAGTTTTATGATTTCCATATAATGTCTGCACACACAATTTTGTCTGTTCCATTATATATAATATAATAAATATATATATATATATATATATATATATATATATATATATATATATATATATATATATATATATATATATATATGTCGTACCTAGTAGCCAGAACGCACTTCTCAGCCTACTATGCAAGGCCTGATTTGCCTAATAAGCCAAGTTTTCATGAATTAATTGTTTTTCGGCAACCTAACCTACCTAACCTAACCTAACCTAACTTTTTCTGCTACCTAACCTAACCTAACCTATAAAGATAGGTTAGGTTAGGTTAGGTAGGGTTGGTTAGGTTCGGTCATATATCTACGTTAATTTTAACTCCAATAAAAAAAAATTGACCTCACACATAATGAAATGGGTAGCTTTATCATTTCATAAGAAAAAAATTAGAGAAAATATATTAATTCAGGAAAACTTGGCTTATTAGGCAAATCGGGCCTTGAATAGTAGGCCGAGAAGTGCGTTCTGGCTACTAGGTACGACATATATATATATATATATATATATATATATATATATAAGATAGCATATTTAAATTGTTTGTGTAATCTATGGGGTTTAGTTAAAATAATGACATAACATATACTGTAGTAAATAATACTGACTTGGTTCTGTAATTAACTGGGGTTTACTTGTCTTTAAATTATGTATATAGTATATGAGAATACCCACTTGGATACTGTATAATAAAATGTGTTATTTTACAGGTTAATATTGCCGATTCAAGATTTGCTCCCCTGCTCACATCTGGAGAGTATAATATTGACCCTTCACATCCCCAATTCAAACGCACCAAGGCTATGGATAATCTCATCAGTGATGTGCAAAAGAAAAGGATAGCAGAATCTTTTGAAAGCATTGTAAGTGGGACACTATTCTGACCAGTATCTTTTCAGTAGATTTGTACATTTTAAATTGAAGCATTTTCTCTACTAGTTATACCATGTTTATTTATAGATAAAAAAGAAGAAACATCTACGGAGACTGCAGATTGAAGAGGGGGGGGGGATGTGCATAGGCGAGTTATAATTATGGAATTTTCTTTGGATTGTTTCATTAGATTACTACTAGCATTTGTGACGTTATCTTTGGTTTGAGGTTGGGCTATCAACCGCAGAAAGTGTATTAGGGCCACCCTAATAGCTTACTGACCAACCAGCAAGTATACTTTAGTCCTGAACATAGTCTATGACTAAAGTAAACTTTCTGTGTATATACATTACGAAATGGGGTACACCTCTTGGTAACCTTTGTTGTTAGATAGTACTGTATAGCTGTGCAAATGCCTGTATACATGAAACAAGAAGGATAATAAATGATCAAGGTGTGCATTAGCTGTACGATCCCGTTACTAGAAGACAAGGAAAAGCAGTTGATTCCAAAGACATTGTTGGGAATGTTTAACTTAAAAAGCAGATTGATAGGTGCTGCTTGTATATGCATATTGCATTGTCTAAATTTTACGTGTGTTTTTTTTTTAAATATGGTTCGACTTGTTTGTTTAGTGATACTTCACCTAGAATGCTTATTAATACTGTACTTATATTCTTCAGCCTGATGCCAAAAGGAAGAAAGCAAGTGAAGAGAAGAACACGGATCATGAATTGTCACTCTTGGTTAAGAGAGTGAAAAACAAAACCAATAAATCCAAGAAGAAACAATAAAGATCTACTATTAACATGGATTTGGCAGTGAACATTTAAGTACAAGCAACAGTAGTTGTTTTGAGACACTGAAATGATAGATCAATACTGTATTCACACATGATGTCAGCTGTAAATATTAATATTGCAGGTTTTCTTTGAAATGTATTGTAAAATGAGAAATTTTTGTTTTGTAATATATATTTACATCAGAACTATGTAGTTGTTCTAATTATTTTCTCCATTAAAAAAAATATTACCCAAGCAAAAGGAACACGATAGCAAACAAGAGTCCATGGGAAGAGAGAGAGATAAGAATATTTTTCTGGATTATTCTGAGGTTATCTATTGGGATGCCCCACACACTGTATTGTCATTTGCAGAGGAATTTATAATAAAATTCACTATATACTGTGTATGAATATACAATTATATAAATTGAATTATTGTAATGCTGCTTGAAACCTTTTCATAAAATACAAAACAAAAAAGGAAATACTATGTAATAATGGCACTAATAATACATAATAGCAATTAAGAGGAGGGTTCCCAGGTACCCTGAGTACCTGGGAACCAAGCCACATGTAAAGTAATATATCATTGCTCAATATGACTAATAATGAAGGAATTTTAATAAATTTTTCTAATTGCTGCTATTTCCCAAACCAGTGCTATGATTATTTTCCTCTGGTGATAGTACTCCTATTACCTAAACTATATAATTTATATGCTCGATTAATATTACTGTTGTTACTAATACTAGTGGTAGTGTTACTATTAATTAATTTGCTTTACTGCTACTACTACAACTGATATTATAAATTCCAATTGCTTTCCTCTACATTTCAAACTATAACTTTGCAAATTAGTACTATTGAAACTTTACAATTGCCACTAATACCATCACTGCTATTAATGTTTCCCTTCACCACTTGACCTGTACCATGAATAGCACAGGTACTATTGTCCTTTAGTACTGCTTCTATCCATACTAGTTAAGGACTACTTTCTTCTATTGCAGTAATTCCACTTACAATCTATGCCAGTGCCCCACTGGGCATTTTTGGTTGCTTTAACATATAGTCTCATTGAGGAACAATATTAAAGCAACCAAAACTGCATACTGGAGAGTATGGCTACTCACCTGTTGGTAATTATGATAATTCCATAATAGTACTACAATTTCTTTGCTCTAGTGCTAGTCAGCCTACTACCTGTACTGTTGAAACTACCCATACTAGTACAGCTAATACTTTCCTCTACTTTTCTATTGCTACATAGTCTTCCCAGCTTGGTACCTTCTTTTAATAACTACTTACTAATACTAGTATTATGGCTACTCTTGTCAACTGCTTCCCATATTAGTGTTGAAACTACTACCTGAACCAAATGACTTCATTTCTCTACTGGAACTACTACTACTACCACCACCATCAATTCCATCCCCAATTTTAGACCCTTAAAAGGTAGCTATGGCCTTAGGAGCATTTCTGCCAATTCACGAAATAAAATGAAAAACTCTTTATAAAATTATTTGGATTGAAAAGTGGAGACAAACTTAATATCCATATTGTAGCCGGTTTCATACACTACACAAATTGAGCGTGTGGTGGCACCCAACCAATCTGTTAACACGAGAGCTCTGTCATCAAAATGGGCTGCCTCAAGCCATTCACAATGTTGACCTTGGATGTCTAGACGATTGATTATATGTACAGTATAATATAATAGAATTGATATAGATATCAATATATGTAGATTGGAGGCCTGGTCGAGGACCGGGCCATGGGGACGTCGAGCCCCGAAATTTGTATTTCGGGGCTCCTACTTATACAAATAGAAGCTGCCTCATATGGGCCAATAGGCTTTCTGTAGTTCCTTTATTAATGTTCAAATGAGGATTAGGTGACTTGGTATACTTCATTACAACCATATGAGAAAATCAACAGAGCAAAGGGCGGATTGAACCAGCATCTAGGGTACGGCATGCCAGAGGCATGCCGTACCCCTGAACCACAAAAATTACAAGAGCTATTGAACCCAGTCACTACTGTGTTCACTAAGGATTTTGGAGGCTGCCACCTGTTGCCACAACTAGTTTTTACAAATAGCCCATATGCACTCTGGAGTAACCTACGGGCTCACCATAACCCATGCTACCTGGAATTTTTTGTTCCAGGTAGCGAATCTTAAACAACAAACATCTGGAGTAAGTATGGAGTTCTTTACCATTTCACTCCCTTCAAATTCATAAGGAAATCAAAAGTGTGTGATATATCAATGAGAAAATCACTGGAGCAGAGTCAGGGCTTGAACGATTGATCTTGGCGAACATCAGACAATGTGCAAAGCAGAGTCTGAAGTGATCCGCTTTTACCCACCAGTGTAAAAAAGAAGTAAACGAGAACTTAATAGATGTAGCCAATATTGTTTGGACCATGTGTAACATAGAAGAGCCTACATTTCTCAATAAACTTTATACAGTATGCTATATGTATTTACTTATATCAATGCTATGTCTGTAGATTTTCACCTGAACCAATAACAACTTTACAATAATTAAATTGACATTATGTATGGGGATGATACAAACTCTTGTGCATATTCCTTTTATCTTCACTATATTAAACACAGCGCACTGGTGAGCAAATTACACTAAATCGTACAAATGAAAGGTCCTGAGTTCTGTTCCCATGACAGGACAGATATTTGGGCATTTTCCTTTCACATGATACTTCTGTCTACCTATCAGTCAACAGGTATCTGGGGAAAGCAGACAACTGTTATTGATTGTGTCCAGGGAAAGGTCAGTAGTTGGTCTAGTGAAATCTCGATAAGCCAAACAATGTTTCCAGTCCCCAACAATAGAAACCCACATGTTTGACAAAAGAGGACAAAACAAAAGAGGACCTGTTAGCAAGGAAGAGTAGACTAGTAAATGTAACTAAATTCAAAACTATTCCTGCAGAGGGATATGACAAGGAGAGAGAATTAGGGCAGCAGCCGCAAGGACAGAACGCAGGGTGGGAGAAAGGCATCGGGAAACCACAACCCCGAACCCTACAATCTCAAAGGGGAGTGGGGAACCCTCCACAAGCAGTTCAACAACCCCAGTGAGAGGAACACCACCCCCACCTTCTACCCAATAAAAGTCCTATCTGCCTCAACCCCTGCCAGCCCCCCCACTAAGTGCCCACCTAGGCCACCCACTACCATCACTCTCTCTCTCTCCCCAAGACCTAACTTCTTCCCCACCCCCCACAAGCCCTCCCTTCACCACCACTGTTTCCATACCAGACCCTCCCAGCCCCCCCTTACACCCCAGATCCCCCAGGTCCCCCTTCCTAGGCCCTCCCATCCCAGACCCATCCGTTTCCCTCCAGTGGAATCAACAGAAACTGAGGATGGACAGAGGAGTCAGCTTCAAGGTGATGTACTCGAACATAGATGGGATCACAAGCAAAGCAAGTGAACCAAGGGAAAGAACAAAAGAAGTGAACCCGAATGTAATTGGACTCACGGAAACAAAACTCTCAGGAATCATAATGAATGCAGTGTTCCCCAGAACTACACTGTAATAAGGAAAGAGGGAAGGAAGGGGAGGAGGTGGAGTGGCCCTACTAATGAGAACGGAAGAGAGCTTCAAGGAGAAGGTTATCCCAGGCTGCGAGAGGTTCAGAGACTACATTACAGGCACCATGACGATGGGAGGACCAAGAGTAGTAGTAGTAGTAGCAGTGGTATATAACCCTCCACCAAACAACAAAAGACTCAGGCAAGAGTATGACAACAACAACATGGCAGTTAACACTGTAATTGAGAGGGGAGCCTCTGCTGCCTATAGAAATAGATCCCATCTGCTCATCATGGGGACTTCAATCACGGAAGGATAGACTGGGAGAACAAGGAACCGCATGGAGACGAGGATACATTCTAAACCAGTATGTCAGGGGACCCACAAGAATGAGAGGCAACAATGAACCAGCGAGACTCGACCTAGTCTTCACTCTGAACGACTCCAACATAAGGAAATTGGTAATGAAGCCCCAGGAATTAGTGATCACAGTGTACTGACGTTTGAGTATCTGGTCGACGGGTTAATGTACTCTTCCCTATAAGGAAGGGACCTGAAAACAAAAGACTGCCTTTCTGAAAGGGAAACTATGATGAAGTAAGAAAATTCTTAATAGATTAACTTGGGAAACAGAGCTCAGAGGAAAGATGGCCCTAGACATGATGGACTACATCACGCAGAAGAGTAAGGAGGCAGCTGACAAGTTTGTCCCAGTCCAAAAACGAAAAAAAAAAGAAATGCAGACAAGAAACCCATGGTTAATCAGAGATGTAAGCTAGCAAAGCAACAAAGTACAACGGTGTGGAGAAACTATAGAAATAACAGGACACTTGAGAGCAGAGAAAGATACGAGAGTGTCAGGAATTAATACGTCAGGGTGAGAAGAAAGGCAGAAGGGCAATACGAAAATGACAGCAAGCAAGGCAATGGCTCAACCTAAATTGCTTCATAGCCACACCAAGAGAAAAACAACAGTGAAGGAACAGGTAATGAAACAGGATGGGGGGCAGACAGATTCACTACAAACAACAAAGAAGTGTGCAAGGAACTAAATAAATTCCAGGAGGTCTTCACATTAGAACAAGGAGAAGTTCCAGAGATAAAGAGAGGGAATAGATAGCCAGGCACTGCTAGAGGAGTTTAGGATTACCAATGGGGAGGTAAGGAAGCATCTGCTAGAGTTGGATGTAACAAAGGCTATAGGCCCAGATGGAATTGCACCATGGATACAGGAAGGAGCAGAAATACTTTGTCTGCCACTCGCCATTGTGTATAATAAATCACTGATAACAGGTGAACTGTCAAAAATTTGGAAGACAGCTAATGTAGTCCCGATATACAAGAAGGGGGATAGGCAGGAAGCACTGAATTACAGGCCAGTGTCCCTAACTTGCATACCATGCAAGTTGATGGAGAAGATTGTGCAAAAAAACCTAGTGGAACATATAGAACGAAAATACTTTGTAACACAACATTATCATGGGTTCAGGGATGGCAAGTCATGCCACACAGGATTAATTGAATTCTACTACCAGGCGAGAAAGATGGGGGTGGGCAGGCTGCCTATTTTTGGATTGCCAGAAAGCCTTTGATACAGTACCACACAATAGACTAGTGCACAAGCTGGAGATACAGGCAGGAGTGAAAGGGAAGGTACTTTATTGGAACAGGGAGTACCTAAGCAACAGAAGACAGTGAGTCACTGTGAGGGGTGAGGCCACAGATTGGCGAGGTGTCACAGGGTTCAATCCTTGGACCTATACTGTTTCTGATATATGTAAAGTAAATTTCATTCAGGAAAGTACATACATAGTTGTTTTACAAACATAATGTTGGATTTATAGATAGAGCTAGTATATACAATACCTAAAGCCACTTGTACGCATAGCGTTTCGGGCAAGGTGAGGTGGGGGAAAAACACTTAGACTAAAACTTAATAGTAATTGAGCTTAAAGTATAAATTGCGTTAAAAAAATAAAAATAAAAGATAAAAAAAGGGGGGGGGGACATGGTAGAAAATAGCCAATATACAAGTTGGTTAGCAAACAGCATTGTTTAAAAATAGTAAGACATGGGTTGACATTTAGGGGTAAGGTAGGTTACATGGAGTTAATTAGGTAATACTTGGTTTTCATCTTAAACTGGTTGAGAGAGGTACAGCCTTTGACATGATTGGGAAGGTCATTCCACATCCTGGGTCCCTTGATTTGTATACAGCATTTCTAGTTTGATTAAGTCGTACTCTTGGAATATCAAATAGGTATTTGTTTCTGGTGTGGTGCCCATGGGTTCTGTTACAACCTTCTAAGAAGCTTTTAAGGTCAGGATTGACATTACAATTCAGAGTTTTAAATATATAAAGTACACACGAGAGGATGTGCAGTGACTTAATATCTAACATTCAGAGATTTGATTAAGGAAACCGAGTGTTGTCTGGGGTCAGAGTTAGATATTGTTCTAATAGAAGCTTTGTGTTGGGTAATTAGAGGACGTAAATGATTTTGGGTAGTAGAACCTCAAGCACAAATACCATAGTTGAGATAAGGATAGATGAGAAAGTAATAGAGCGTCACCAGGGCAGGGCGAGGTATATAATATCTGATCTTAGAAAGATGCCAACAGTTTTAGAAACTTTGTTTGCTATATTTAGGTTGTAAATGATCTCCCAGAGGGTATTGACTCGTTCCTATCATTGTTTGCTCATTATGCAAAAATTACGAGGATTAAGATAAAGGAAGATAGAATGAGGCTACAAGATGATCTAGCCAAAATTAATAAATGGTCCAACAAATGGCTACTAAAGTTCAACCCGAGTAAACGTACGGCAATGAAACTAGGCGGTGGAAACAGGAGGCCAGACACAGGATACCGTATGGAAGATGAAGTCCTTTACGAAACAGAGAGAGAAAGATCTAGGAGTTGATATCACGCGGAACCTGTCTCCTGAAGCCCACATAAAAAGAACAACATTGCGGCGTATGCGAGGATGGCTGACTTAAGAACTGCTTTAAGAAACCTGTGTAAGGAATCATTCAGAACCTTGTACACCACATATGTAAGGCCAATCCTGGAGTATGCGGCCCCAGCATGGAGCCAGTACCTTGTCAAGCACAGGACTACGCTGGAAAAGGTTCAGAGGTATGCCTCTAGGCTAATCCCAGCACTAAGAGGCATGAGTTACGAGGAAAGGCTGCGTGAAATGCACCTCACGTCGTTGGAAGACAGAAGAGGAAGGGGAGACATGATCACCACCTACAAAATTCTCAGAGGAATTGACAGGATTGATAAGGATAAATTGTTTAACACGGGTGGTACGCAAACAAGGGGACACAGGTAGACTCTGAGTACCCAAATGAGCCACAGGTACGTTAGAAAGAACTTTTTCAGTGTCAGAGTACTTAACCGATGGAATGCATTAGGCAGTGATGTGGCGGAGGCAGACTCCATACAGTTTCAAATGTAGATATGATAAGAGCCCAGTAGGCTCAGGAATCTGTACATCAGTTGACTGACATTTGAGTGACATTTGAGAGGCGGGACCAAAGAGCAAGAGCTCAACCCCCGCAAGGACAATAATGGAGAGATTGCCTAGCAACGGCCATTTAAACATCCATATGCCACAATCTTTTTGCTTCACCTCTCAGGTGGGAATCTGACAGGGAAAACCGTAGAGGTTATTTACAACATTGGCCACTGATATAAAATCATGATAACCATATTTATTTTTATTATATTTATTAACAATACTCAATGCAACTATCCTAATCAAGTTTATGGTACTCATCCTACTAGTGTAATAGATCGTAAAACTATTTCCAGTGCTAAGCATGAGAGCTGGAGATCATGCGAGACACCATTATGTTAGTACACCTATAAAGTTAAGTTTTTTTTTCTGTAAATACTCTCCCCGAATGGCAGCGCTACTAATGGTCCCTATGATTACTTTACAAAGTTCTTAAACTTACATTTGATTTTCCTTCAGTCATATTGTACATACTGTGATTCATTTGCATTTTCTTAACTATTGTCATCTTAATCCTTATACAAGGCTCCAATATAATTAATTTGAAATTATTTGGCATATCCAAAAATTTGCATTAATGCAGTTATTAATTTTTTTTAATATGCTATCTTGGAGAGATGCCAATATCCTTCCTATTAAGAAACCTGTCAAAATGGATAAAGTATCTAATGATTTTAAACCCCTAACTTCGACATCTTGATACTTTGCCTAAACCAGATTATGTTTAATCAGACACCCATGACAATATTAACCAGTAATGATTTTACATGTTAAATCAACTCTGCAACAGTTACCCAACTCTTGGGTTCCTATTTACTGCTAGGTTAACAGAGGCAACTGTTGTGGGGTTGCATCATTAAGAAGGTCAGTTGCTTGACCCGGGATGTGGGTATCAGGATATAAAGTAGATATATAAAGAAGCCTCCTGTCCCCGACAAAAACTGTCCATATCCTGCTAGGCTTATTGAGGTCCTCCCTTGGCCAAGGTCCCCCCCTTGGCTAAGCCCGAACCAGGGTTTCACACAATCCTCCCATGCACTTTGTTATTCAGGAATTCTACCTCTAATGATTCCTATTCAATGCATAGAGAAATAGGTTCGAATAAACGTCACGGTTCCTACTGGTTTTCTCAAATTATAAATTATTATTAATGCTGTCCGAGCCTGACTCCGTAGAACCAGAGGGACAGGGCTGACTGGAGTTTCGAAAGACAGAAGAGTGGGTTATAGGGGAGCTGGAGGCGAGTCCGAAAGATCAAGGGACAAGACTCAAGAAGGGGCTTATGAGTTTGGAAAGTAAATTGAAGGAGAGTACTGTAGCTAACGGCTGAAAAGTGCAAACACAGTGTGTTCGCTACCAACACCGGATCTACTACGATACAACCACGAAGACGAAAGATAGGCGAGATGTCTAAAAAAATTTATCAACAATCTTACGAAGTTTCTTCCAAATCTGAGTGAGGTGGGTGTCGACTGTAATGGCGGAGACACAAGATCTGCAACTCTCCCGTTTAGCTGTACAGCTGTGTCGTTTCCAGGCTGCATGCTTGCAGAATACAGCCCGAGCAAAGAAAGAACTCCAGCAGGGAATGCACTTCCTTGCACTATGAGGCATAGGGAGGAAGAGTAGTAGTAGTCAGCGTCCAATAAGAGCATCACTCCAGAGGGCATGCAGACATTTAAAATCACCCAAAAGGAGCACAGGCTCCGGTAGAGTGTCCAAAAGTCAGGAAAACAAAAAGAGGATCATGGGGTGGGGGAAGGGAGATAAATAGAACAGTGTACTTTTACCTATAAGGATACATGCAGCAGAGAAATGAACTTTCGACTGAAAATGGAGAGGAACAAAGGGAACATCAGTCCGGATCTAGAGAGCAGTAGAGTTGGGAGTCACATCATAAGGTGGAAGGGAGGAAAGAAAGGCATAACTGCGGAAGTAACTAGGACGAGCACCAAGCATCGGCTCCTGGAGACAGACCCAAAGTGATACAAAATTTGGGCAGAGGTAAATCCAGCAAAGACGATTGAGTTTGGAGAGCGGTAGAAAGGAGCAGAACTGACGGGGTTTGGAGACGGGTCGAGGGAGGGTTACCTTGAGGTGCTACCGGGGCTTAGCGTCCCCGCGGCCCGGTCGTCGACCAGGCCTCCTGGTTGCTGGACTGATCAACCAGGCTGTTGGACGCAGCTGCTCGCAGCCTGACGTATGAGTCACAGCCTAGTTGATCAGGTATCCTTTGGAGGTGCTTATCCAGTTCTCTCTTGAACACAGAGTGGGCAAACAACGACAGAACCGGCAGCGAGCACTCCATCAGGGACAGCACCAGAGGCAGAATCAGGGGCTACGGAAACTTCCATAGCTAGATCAGCCGACTCTGGTACCGAGACGGAAGGAGAGGCAGGAACCAAGATGAAGAGTTAAGTGGGGGAAGGAAAGAAGTACAATACAGTACACAATAGCCTGATTAAGACCTTTTGTGCACTCTGTAATCCTTCTTTGTGTTACTGCTTACATACGAGTATGAGGCGCACAATGGCAGAACATTAATGTATTTCAGTTAAGCATTACATTGATCTACGTTACATAAACTGGGGCAAAAGCACGTGGCTTATCTCTAAAAATTCCCAAAATAATAAATGAGGCTGTGAACTACTAAATGATAGTCAGCTGGTTTTATACCAAAATACACAAAGTGGAAATTTCGAGGACTTTAGTTTAGTCGTGTAACTTACAGTATCAAACGGTTTTTTTTTATCGCCAATGACTCTTCAGGTGTGCTATCAGCCAGCTGACATGACTGGTGAGGACGACTAAGGCGGAGTCGTGATACTGTAGCATTATCCTGCCTCGATTCCCCGACCATGTTTCGCCTTAATTCTGTCTTAATTCCAAGAACGTCAACATGTGGATGGAATGATAGAGAGTTCCTTATTCAATGTTGATTAAACGTGACTCAAACTTATCTTTGCTTGCTGGGCGAATTACACTATTTCTTCTGTAAATAGTTGGTCCCTTTTTCTGTGTTCCTATACACTGATCCTTCTCTCTTCGTGCTGTCATACAACCTGCAGGGAGAGTAAGGAGAACGTTCTTCAAATGATGAAATTAAAAAGTTTATCAGAGAAATATGCCAAACAAAACACTTGTAGTGGCCAAGTGTCCCAGTCAGACCGAGAAACATTGTCACAGCTCCAATACGACTTTCCTACAAGTATCTGTGGCAGGTCGGGTTGTATAGAGATCTAGATAAAGTTAAGTGTAAAGTGTGTGGACAAAGACAGGAAGGCACACACGAACATTACACTTTATATTGTGAAAAAATTCAGCTATCTAATGTCCGAAACGCTGTGTGTATTAGTAACTTTTTGCATAGTATATTCTAGCTCTATCTAGGAATCCAACATTCTGTTTACAACTCATTTTGTATGTATGTATATACTTTTACGTGAACATTATTGTCATTATTATTTCACGCTGCATGAAATAGCAAATTACCTTTTTACAAATTATAAAATATCTGAAATTCATGCACTGTGCCATATTTCGCTTCTAATGGATAAATGACATAGGAATAATTAATGTACAAGCTGTTACTAGCAGTCACTATATGGTGTGAAGATTAGAGGTATTTGTTATAGTAAAATTCCCGTGAAGGTCTGATTAATCTAAACGCATACAAGGGGGCAACAGCTTCAAGCTACAATGTAGAATAGAAAACATGATGTACTTTTTCACCCATCTATATCTAAAAGAATGTCTGCGTATGTCCAAGTGTGGAGGCTAAGGTTGAGGCCTCACTCAAGGGAGAGGGAGAGTGTGTGAGAAAGAGTGGGGGAGTGTGGGGAAGAGGGGGGAGGGAGAGAGTATGGGGGAGAGGAAGAGGAGGGGGATAGGGGGAGAGAAAGAGGGTATGGGGGGGATAGGGAGAGAGAGATGATAACACCTGTGTCGCTCTGGTGGGTCTAGGAGTATATAAGGGTAGACGCGATATCTTGGCACCGTATTCGCCGTGATGAAGATCTTGGTGGTGTTGGCCAGTGTTCTGGTGGTGGCCGTTGCTCGCTCCGGCCTCCCCACCAATCTCCATGGGTAAGTTTAGGGCACGGACATACTCCATTTTACATTCACTGCAAGAAAACAATTAAATTGGTTTCGTCGGGGACAGACCTCCTGTGAATATATACATTTTAGGCTTGTATCGAGGAGTCCCCCCCCCCCCAGGGTCAGGGGGGGAATTACAATTGCTGTGCCGAATTCTCTCACATGCCAAAGTCACTGGTGAATAAAAAATTCCTGTGCCTTAAAGTTTTGAGAAATGTTATGCACAGTGTTTTGGATATGTAAGTTACATTTAGTTTTGAATTTTTACATTTCTCGAGATGGGCAAGTAAAAATCGGTCGAATTCTGCAACCTCCCCCCCCCCTCCCATGATGTTTCTATTATTTGATGAGCCCGACTACTTCTCACGACCTCTTAATTCCAACCTCTTTCACTTAAAAAAAAAAAACTAACAGCTACAACGTTTTTTACAGTACTTCAAAAATCATTTATTATGCACCCCATACCCATCTTGTGGGCGGTAGTGGAAAGGGTTACAGAGGCACATAATGGACTCACTTCAAAATCGTTGTGTTCTTTCTCGTGTGTTCTTGAAGTTGCTGATGCACAGTATTTTTTACTTGTTATCCAACACAACACCACACACTCATGTTCCAAAGCTGTCTTCACTAGTCTCCAGAGTTTTGAATGCATTTATCCAGTCAGAAAACCCATCTGTTGTAAGTGATGTTTGACATTTAGAAAAAGAGTTTACAAAGAAAACAGTATATACAGCCTTTGCTGTATCACAGCAAAGGCGGTATATCACGGTCTAGCTCTTTTTCAACATGTATTATTAACAAACTTCTGTTTTGCTCCTTGTATACTCTGCTTGATTCGATATACACATCTGGTTTATTATTTTGAAAAAGAAACCTGTGTCTTGCATTAAATAATGTATGAAATCATTATTAACTGTTTCGAGGTCTCCGTATTCTTTGAAATAACAGAATTTGCTACCGCTCGTTTCGCGGAACTTGCACGCTGACCACCACGGTGGTCCTGCTCTGCACCACAAGGGTCAAACAGTGGGTGGAATGTTGACCAGACCAGACATTAGAAAGTGAAGCGACGACGACGTTTCGATCCGTCCTGGACCATTCTCAAGTCGATCGACTTGGGAATGGTCCAGGACGGGCTGAAACGTCGTCGTCCCTTCACCTTCTAGTGTGTGGTCTGGTCAAAGTACTTCAGCCATGTTATTGTGACTCGTCGCCTGTAGTAGGTGGAATATCGCTAGAAAGGGCTCCCCCGGCTTGTGTCCCGTCAACGGCTTCAGTGGTATTCACTTTGCTTGTTTCAACTGCAGGTGGTAACAAACCTGACATTGCAAAATAGTTTGTTAGTTTTTTTTACTTTTAGCAATTTCGTTAGATCGCTTATCCTTGAATTTGTGCTTTGGTATCTACTCAAGCTCTTTTCCCGCCCCAAAATCCTTATCCTAATTCCTTCCAAGTGCTATATAGTCGTAAAGGCTTGGTGCTTTCTCCTAACAGTTCCCTTCCCTTTATGTTCTTTTGTGAACGCATTGTTATTCCTTTTAAGTCCTGACCTCCGTTAAAAAAGAAAAAAATACATTAGAAACCCGCAAAGAGCTAACTTGCCACGACACTTTGACTCCAAATTACGGGTTGAAAAGTTATCTTTAACTCCGATTACTTAGCTAAATTACCCATGAACTGCATTCCATGTCCACCCCGGACCACAGCCTGGACTGACTCATGGACATGGACCATGAACTGGCCCACACAATGAACTGGTCCATATAGCTTCAATCTAACAACCTAATCACTAACTCAGAATTTCTTATCACTGGGTTAAAATATTATTTTCACTTATACTCAACCCATACAAGTTCAACTTTTCAGTCAATGAGGCTGGCCCATTCCCAGACCATGGGAACCTCGTCCCTACGGTCTTCATGACAAAGGACTTATCAAACCTTCTCTCCCTCCAAATGAATTTCCCAACTGGAATGTCTTACCCGTCACGCTCGCGTTGTGATGTTTTAAGGCATAGCAACTAGCGATTGCCTCAGAGGTTGAATCACGTGATTAGCCCACGCCTCTAGACACACATTTTATGTGATTTGCTTGTCACTGGCAGTTGCCTCGCCTAGATCTGGACCTAACCAAGGTCCTCTCTAACCTGGCCTGAACGTGGGATGTCGCACACAAAATACCTGACTTTTGTTAATCCACTTGTATCGCGGTCTGCATTTCAGATGCACAGCTCGTAGCGTAAACCCTCTAATAATTCTTTCTTACTCTTCATCATTGGCTGGAGAGATCTAAGAGATTCTCATAGGGAAATGTAGGCCTTACAATCGCTCTCCCATAGTTGATAGGCTTCAACCGTCCCATGGTTGCTTGGCCTTAATACCAGCACCAAACTGACCCCTTCTATAAATTGATTAAATCATGTCCACTTTCACCAGTGTCCTCTGGTGGTTACATCTTAAAGGCTAAACGTCGCAGACGTGTCCCAGACGGGTCTGACCCTTTCAGGCGTGCTCCGCGCACATTTGGAAACTTCGATAGTGCTCACAAGCGTGCTTAGCAGCCGAAGGGTTAATAACTAACAGTCAATATACTACTGGAAACATCACCTTCACTGCTGGAAACGTCACTTTCACTAGTTGTACTTACATTTACTCTACCAGAATATGAAGGCGAGAACGTGAGCTATATCAGCTTATTTGTTGTTAGGAATATCGGTGTTTGTCTCAAAAAGCTGTTAAATTAATATTTCTGCATTTTAACGTTTAGTGTTTTTTGTGATCAGTGCGCAGGTGCTGAGTGTGGTGCCGGAGGAGGCATCGCAGGTGCACTACCTCAAGAACCTCCAGCTGCGGGACCTCTTCGACTTCTGGACAGAGCCCCGAGCTGTTGGTGAGATAATCTGCCTGTCTTTTTTGACCCCCTGATTTTTCATCAATATGAAGTAAACTTCAACATTTTGGGTCATTATAGGCAGTGAGGTTAAACTATTGGTTCCGTGTCCTGGCAGGCACCCCCGTGGACATCATGGCCCCGGCCTTCCAGCTGCCAGCGCTGAAGAACATGCTCGCTCACGTCGGCCTCAAGTTCACCACCAAGATTAGCAACGTGGGATTCCTAGTGGATCAGCAGAAGGCGGCCAGGGCCACTGGTCCTCTTTCCATGGATTGGACCTCTTACCACGATTATGATGAGGCGAGTGTTTGGGTGTTATGGTCCTCAGCATAATACTAAGCTGCATGTGTGCTACATGATAACAATATTGTTTTAAAATCTCTCTTTTTATTATTTAAAATGCGGTACACAGATAAACGCGTGGTTGGACTCCTTAGCGACAGAATACCCGGATCTGGCCAGCGTGGAGGATGTGGGACTGAGCTACGAGGGCCGCACCATGAAGCTCTTGAAGCTGGGGAAAGGTGGCGCTGACAAGCCCATCATCTTCATCGACGGAGGTACGATGCGTTGTGTGATCAACCATTAATAGCTTTGTTTCGATGATTATACTGTCAACTGATATATGGCAAATAGAGATGGTAGTGTTGTAGTGACAGGGACGGTGGGAGAGAGTAAGGGGAAAACTAGAGGGTCGCGAAGTGCTTTGACAAGAGCTACTCTCCTGCAGGTATCCACGCCCGTGAATGGATCGCTCCTTCTACTGTGACCTACATTGTGAACGAGCTGATTACCAATAGCGACACCTACGACGACATCCTCTCCAACGTCAACTTCTACGTCATGCCTGTCATCAACCCTGACGGATATGCATACACTTTCACTGACGTGAGTACCTCTCTCTTGATGCGTGAACCAGACACAAAACATGCAAAAGCAATATGTATGAATTTCCTCATACTCCATCCACATCCTCTTCCAGGATTACTACAATTCCTCCATCCGACTTTTCTAAGACCTTTGGACACTGAATTGAATATGCATGAACGTCTTACAAACAAAATTTCGAGAGGCTTTGATAACCGATTCATATATCTTAACCTGCGCTTTATTGGATTATCTAAAACTTGGCAAATAAATGAGAACTGCTTCTAATCTAATACTACACACTTCAATGCTACAAAAATAATTAGTTGTAGGACTACGAGAGGGAGATTTCGTATTTTATGAAGATAAGAACACTAGCGCCATTGACAAGCTTACTCACACAGTTGGCCCTACTAATAATTCCTCTATGAATTATAGAAATAACTTAGATCTATCTAATACGTAGGTATGCTTAACAAATTGTCCAAGAGCGGGACAAAATGTGATATTTTAGCGGGAGAGTTATAATTTGTCCGTTAATACAACCTATCAACAGGACCGGTTGTGGCGCAAGACCAGATCCGAGACCTCTTCGACCTTAGGCTGCCGCGGTGCCGACCCCAACCGGAACTGGAGCTTCCACTGGGATGGTTAGTCTCCACTACCACTTGTATGTATGTACATGAAAATATACATTAGTGGGCTTTTCACTAATGTATATTAAAGTCACAAAATTCTTGATCATATTTGTCTATCCATTTTTGCTAAAGCGCTACTTGTCTTTTCCAACAGAGGTTGGCGCATCAGACAGTCCTTGCTCTGATATCTACGCTGGTCCCGAGCCGTTCTCAGAGGTGGAGATGAGGAACGTGCGCGACCAGATCCTGGAGTACGCCGACAATATCAAAGTGTACCTCACTTTCCACTCTTACTCGCAGCTGTGGATGTACCCCTGGGGCTTCACCTCCGACCTCCCCGACGACTGGCAGGATTTGGTGAGTCCACCCGTACCACACCCGTTCCTCACCCCTAACACATACATACGACACCCGTACGAATATTGTCACAGCTACAATCTGGGAATAAAACAATCTTGATACCCTCATAAAAATAGTTACCATTCCTTACATTACTATTTTTACTTGTCGACTTGTATTTACATTAAATGTGACTGTGTAGGATAAGTAAACTTAAGCTGAAGCATTTGTCATGTTTCACCAGGACACTCTGGCCACAAATGCCGTGGACGCCCTCACCGCAGTCCATGGAACTCGCTACGAGATCGGATCCTCCACCAACACCATTTGTAAGTAGCATCCAGGAGCGCTCTGAGCTTATTGGTGTTGTGTGTTTCTGGCGACGCCGTTATTTCATAACACACTCAACTGTAACTTATGTTCCTTTTCGCCATAAAATACAGATAAAAGCAGCTAGGATCTGTTCCGAGTTTTCCAGCGGAGCATACAGGAGGAGTAGGGACTGGAGCATACAGGAGGAGTAGGGACTGGAGCATACAGGAGTAAAAACTGGATCATACAGGAGGAGGAGTAGGAACTGGAGCCTCTCTCTCTGTCTAAAAGCTATAATACCTGCCCAATTACTGCTTCCCCCTCCCCACCAATGAAACAACTATTTAAGAGTATTTTTAGCGAAGCTTGCCAATGCTGCCACCATGAACTGGTTGGTACACAACCGGGCCACACCCGTCACCCGCCACACCCGTCACCCACGACCGTAAAACGTGTTTGTTGTTCTTATAGACGCCGCTGCTGGAGGCTCCGACGACTGGGCCAAGGGCGAGGCCGGCGTCGCCTACTCCTACACCATTGAGCTTCGCGACACAGGTAACTACGGCTTCGTCCTTCCTGCAGATCAGATCATCCCGACCGGAGAAGAGACTTTCGAGGGAGTCAAAGTCGTGGCCAACTTCGTCAAGGACACGTACGGCAAGTAAATCAAGTGCCTGGTGGTCCAGACGCCCTTGCCGACACCCTAGGGTTGTTTAGGACACCCTTCACGTCGTCTCATAGGGGTATTTTAAGACATTTGCAGTCACTATAGGAACGTTTAAGACACCCTAATTACATTTGGGATACCCTTGCCATCACCTATGTGGTTATGACTTCAGTGACATCGCAAAATTAGTATCATACACAACTGTAAGAATTTGCCCCAAAATAAACAATCAAAGTCATGTACAGCAAATTTACTCAAGATCCTTACTACATTTTGGAGGAAAACTCTTAATATCACTTCCTGTAATAAAAGAACACTAGGAAGCAAATTGTTATTTATTTCAAACTCCTTAATTTAAACCAGATAAAATTGAACTTTTTAATAAACATTAGTTTCAGAACTTGGCTTTATTTCCCTGATGGTCGATTTATTTTTAGTCTTCTCGACGGTGACAGGAAGCCAGTGGCTTGTCACAAACTCTCCATTGTTCCTGAGGATTTTTTCTATCTGGGTTTTGAATTAATTTGAAATTTTCTACCCGATTTTGAATGAATAATGTCCTTTTTATCCATAAGCTCGTTCTAATACTACGACAAAATTAGTTATCAAGAGAGTGCGCTATGCCAGTATTTCTATATAGCACTTGGAAAGGTCAGGAAGACGGAGTTCGAGAGGGGTAGCTTAAGCTACTCTATCCGTTTGAGATGTATTTATCATCTCAATAAACATACTTGAACTTGACGGAGTTCAACAAATTGAAGTTTATATATCATTGGATAAACTTTATTCAACGTCGGATTGTTATTATATTAACGTCATTTACACTGAATAATATCGAGGATCGAATGGCAAAAGAAAACAGATTCTTTATCACAATAATTGTGGGTCTGGTGGGTAGCTTATGATACTGCCGACTAACCCCCAAAAAATTAAATATCAGTAGATAAATAAACAAATCTATTATTAGATAAAATATTTACGAATAATCTACAGTTGATGAATTCCAAGCAGGTACGAATATTATTCACATATTACGATTATACTAATCAGCTATTTGTACCAATGATGGTGTTATTAACTGCACCAATGATGCCATTTAAGTGAACATGTTTGGTGACCCAAATTAGGGATCTCAGCAATGCAGGAGAGAACAGCCAGGCGGGCTTCTGCCTCCTTAGACAGGGCCACAATAATGTGTGTGCTGGTCCGAGTGGGGTCAGAACTAACGAGTATCCACAGGGGCAGCAAGGTGCTTATGTGTAAATTACCAGGGCCGGCATGTTCATTGTGACAAACATCAAAACACTTGGCCAAGAAGCGGGGCCAAACAGGTCATGGGGCATAGCAGTGTTTGAAGGAATCTTACACCTTTAAGGGTGGCAATTGAGCAGTGGTCCCTGCACTAGCCGAGTTCTGGCCGGTCCAGGGGCATCCACCGACGTGGTACTCCCCTATTTTAACAGGGAAAGTCTTTCTGCAATGTACACACACACTATATTGGGGCAAAAATCCTTTTCTCCTGCTCCCTCAACCTCCCAAGCGGGGTGGTATTACAAACAGAGTGGATGCTCTACATTTGTGTCATTTTGCACTTACACCTCTATAGGGGCAGGAGAGGAGGCCGAGGCTACCCCCAAAATGGCCCCTCGAGTCGTACCGGAGCACCCTCCCCTCCACCCATCATCACTACAATGCGAAACTCATGATTGATTAATGAAGATTAAGCCATCCAAAAGGTGGCACGGGCATGAATAACCCGTAAGTGGTGGTCCTTTTGAGCCATTACCAGTACCGAAAGCTGATACTGGAGATCTGTGGAGGTGCGAATGCACCCTGCATGGCGGGAGATGTCTCCCGTGACATGGAAACCCACTACCTATAGTGTCCCAAGTCTTCTATTACAGTGGACTGTATATCATCATCAGGGAGGTCCTGTACTAATGTACTGTTAACAGATTATGATAAAATATTGCTCTAATGTTATAAAGTATATTACAGATACAAGTCTTGAAGCAAATCAAAATCAAATGTTTATTCAGGTAAAAGTATATACATACAAGACGAGTTACAAACATAATGTTGGTTTAATAGATAGAGCTAGTACATACAATGCCTAAAGCCACTAATACGCACAGTGTTTCGGGCAAATAAAACTAAACGTTGATAATATTGTGTTGTACTCAAGTCAGTTTACACAAAAGACAATACAATACTGTGATGGGAAATGTACCCCATACGGTAAGTACTGAACACAAATTTTCAAAAACTAATTATTATTCCAGGAAATGTGAACACTTAAATTAGGATTTTGAGGCGTTGTAAGTGGTAGTTGTCTGATCAATAAACAAAAAACATTACTCATAGTAATTTATAAAAATTATTGTATACACTTTTGTTATAGTTTTAGGGAAACGAAATAAGCTACCTATTTTCAAGTGAATGTCATAAGGTTTTACCTCTAAATTTAAAAATAGTTTGCCTAATGTGGACATTCGTTTTCTTACTTTGATGAAGGTTATTAGAGCACCGACACAACAATTAGGGCCAACTAAACTGAAAAAAACGACACGTACCTTAACACTTTCACGCTCTCCACACACACAAAAAATAAAACTTGCCCCCAAATGCTTTCGGGGTTTCGGGCGATCAAGCGGCAACACTGAAAAGTGCATACTCTTTTCACTGTCCTGATCTTAATTTTCGATGTACATATTTCTTTTTATACCAATGTGTTCGCAATAGAATGTTCTAGAAGAACATATGTATAAAATGTCACCAAAGCATGAGTTAAATCACCACCAAATAAAGAACTGGGCGCAATTCCTTAACTGTAGCCTCTGTTTAACGCAACAGTAAAATGTGTACTTGGATGAAAAAACGATTCTTCGCGGCGGGGGATCGTATTCCAGGGACCTGCCCGAAACGCTACGCGTACTAGTGGCTGTACAATTATGTAACAACTCTTGTATATATCTCAAAAAAAAAAAAAAACTTCATCGATTACTAGCCGTGAGCTCCAAACAGCGACGAAATGTTTCTTTTCTTCTTTTCAGGGTTGTCAACTCCACACTTGTCCTACAGCGTTAAATTTGGTATCACTGAGATGGCAATAGAATTCCCTACACAGACATATGCATATAAATGTAGAATCATGATCGCGGCCCACACGCAAGAGTGTGTGAAGTGGGCGAAGTGTTACCTGTTACCGCATATCAGCGAAACCAGTATTCAAAAGTGTATATTCTTTTCACTGTCCTGACCTTAATTTTCGATGTACATATTTCATTTTTAAACCAATGTGTTTGCAATAGAATGTTCTAGAAGAACATATGTATAAAATGTCACACAAGTATGCGTTAGACCGGCACCAAATAAAACACCTACGTCGATTACACTTGTGTCAATAATACAATAGTCTTTCCACGAAGTTACAATACAATTTCGTTCTCCCAAATAGGCCATGTGGCTATTAGAGAAAACGGAAATTGAATGGCAAACATGTTCATGCTATCACCAAGTCGATCGGATAAGAATTGGATTTTATACAAATATTATTTAATCGGACGTAAATTTACGATGCTCCTGCACCATCAAGTAAAAAAGATCGGTCTGGTAATTAAGGTACATAATTATTATCAATAAAGGCACCAAGCCGGGAAGGCTATGTAGCACCATCAATTGTGCGGAATAATCAGAGGGCGCTAAATATTATCGAGGATGCCAACATTAGAATAGAAACGCATAAGGCGAACGATATCAAAAGTATCCGATTCACCAAGAATTCTATCGAGGGACAAGTGACCGCGGGGGGACGGTCGGAAAGCAAGACACGCTCGTTCTGGAAGTCAGGACATTCAACAAGGATATGTGCAACTGTAAGAGGGTCAATGCAGTTAGGCCAATAAGGAGCAGGGTGGCGCTCCATTACGTGTCCGCGAGTTAAACGCATATGGCCAATACGCAACCTTGCCAGAGCCGTTTCCCACCGCCGGTTATGGTTGTAGGAGGAAGGCCACAGGGACACACTACTCTTTAAGAATACGCAGTTTATTACCAGTAACAGAAGACCAACAACGCTGCCAATGGGCAAGGATGGAGGAATGAATGACTGGGTAAAAGTCGGAATAAGGAACATCTTTAAGGAAGATGGGACAAGTGCGGATAGCTTCTGTAACGTACGATTATATTATGTTGTTGGGTTGATTAGATACACAGTGTTTAGTGAGTTTCATATATATTTAGTAGTCCTGGATACAGCAGTGTCATTGACGTTGAGACGAAGCCTGGAGCAGAGCAGGGAGCTGAGTGAGACCGGAGTCGTGGAGCTCTATGTGGGAGAGCTTGGCGGCTCGATTGAGAATTGTGAGTGTCTGAACTCGGGGAGCGAGAGCGTGGCGGCTCGATGCTGTCGTAGTCTGCTGTCTGCTCTGTGTCGAAGCTGTAGCGTCTTGGGTCGATTAGGACTGTAAACGCCGAGTGCTACATTGTTGACTGTGGAAATTGAACTGTCTTCTATTCATCAAATCGTTGCTTATATGGTGATTACACCTCAGCTTCCTTCAACAAGGTGAGAAGAGTATTACATGTAATTGGAGAAAGGATTGTAGCTTCTGTAATTAGTTATGTTATTAAAATAATGAGATAATGGGGCGAGTATAAGATTAACTCGCTACACTTCCTTAGCAGCAGCGTCCACACGCTCATTTAAAGAGACACCAATATGGCTGGGAACCCAGCAAAACTCTCCTGTCTTAAATCTACTGGATATGAGAAACAGCCAATGTTGAATCTCGACTACCATCGGATGGACTGGATTAAAGGACTCCAGAGCCATGAGGGCACTGCGTGAGTCAACTACAACCACAAAGGAGGAGTGTCAGCGAGAAAGCAGGAGACGAAGAGTATAAAGAATAGCATAAAGTTCTGCCGTGAAGATGCTAGTCTCCGGAGGCAGGTGACACATTTAGATGTGGTCAGGAAAAACAACAGAGTAGCCTACACCTTCTGCAGACTTAGACCCATCGGTGAAGATGGAAACGGAGCAGGAATGTGATGAAAAGTGTTCAAGGAAAAGACGTTTTAGAACTGTAGGAGGGGTAAAAGCTTTAGTGGTGTGGGTCAGGGATTTGCAATATTGTTGAAGGGGGACCCTCCACGGGGGGTAAGGACGGAACAACAATAGGAGAAATATTAGTAATACTAACCGAAAGAAAATGTTGCAGGCGAGACAACCGGACA